GACAAAACACCATGCAATAAAGATTACCTACAACAGCCCCAAGGTTCAATAGACTAAGTATGTGTTCAAATATATAAGCACTAGCATTACAAATGACTAAAACAAATAGGAACATATTAGGGCTTAACAAAATACCAACTTAACAGAGGACACACGAACTAAGTGCAATTCTTCGAGGAATGATCACTCACATCACCATTGGTGGTCAGCGCAAGTGAATGGTGTGAACCACAAGCGACCTGTGCCACACGATGAGACAGGCCTGCCGATATTGAGGATGGCACGAGACCTTGCGTGTTGCAATTGTTGCCCAGCTGGCAGTAACCGTTGTGGCCCCAGCTAAGCAGATCGCCACTCTCTGTGACAGCCAGGACATGAGGGCCGCTGCCATACGCTAGAGTGTGCAGACCCTTCCGACATAGTGCATCCACTGCAGAACAGATATTCATGGTTTACGCCATTCAAAGGCGCCACAGGGTAACGAGAAACGGCAGTCATACGAGAACACAGCAGTTGACGCGCGGCATTAACCCAAGACCTTGTTCTTAGCATAAAAGTGCCATAGCTAACAAGTGGCAATCATGGTAGGTATGCAGAGAGGTAAATGCTGCCATTTTGATTTGACTAAAGAGCGGGTTTGCCGACTTGAGCTGTCAGCACATAAAAAGCGTGAACATCACTTTGCCAGGGCCATTTCAAGTGTTAAAAGGCCAGAACTGTACATTATTCAATGAATCAGTGCAGCAGTCTTATACAGCCTACATTAATAGCATCACTTAGTAAAGTATACCTACTTTTTGCACGAGTGTCTAATGTCAGAAAAAGGCGCTAGACAACTGCAGCAATGCATTATCTGTGAGCATATCCTCGCATTTGACAATAATAATGGCACGCACCTTTTCGGGGCTCAAGGATACCATGTGTGTCGCCGCGTCCTAGGCAGCCGCTTAAGTTAGATCCCAGTGCAAAGACATCATCGTCTTGTGTGACCACCAAAGCTTCATTGCCCGAGCTGCCAAATACACATGCCAATCGCAGCTTTGACACAAAGGCCCTGTCAAGATTGCTGAAGATGAGCCACTTGTCCAGATCCGTTGTGGTTCCCAAGTCTAGCACGGGCAGAAAGGACAGACGCTCAGCCATACCCACTCCTTCCGCCTCCTGCTGTTCTCTGCAATTCAATAGTAACAGTACTTCAAAACGAAGTAGCTAGAGGGTTGCGTCTAGTTAAATAATAGTAATATGCCATGCACCTTTTATAGTACCTTCAATGACCTTTCTAGTGTAAGGCAGTAATAAAGAAGACAATGCACGGTTGAAGGTGAAAATCCGGAGGCACTGCGTCGACTAAAGTAAAAGTTGAAAACAAGCAGAAAAATACATTACGGCTCTCACATGGGAGTCTTGATTGACAAGTGAAATAAAAACACTTGGTAAGCAGTTTGCCTTATGCACGCTTGAATGTATCAATGCACGTAGCGCGATACATTCAGGTCAAGACAAAGCAGCCTTGGTGTCCACATAACCTCAACACTTTCCTGGTCATTACACTTGATAAGCTAATTCACAATACTAACCACATGCTAGGTTATACATGGCAAAATTTCTCTTCTGCTTCTACCTCATTTAATCTTGTACAAAACATTCATTAGGGGTAAAATGGGCTACGCACCATCCATTTGAGACCCACAGCTCCTAGCCCATATTCATTTACTTGAACTAATTCAAAGTAATGCTACGCGTTTCATTTATAGCAACTACAGTGTGACATCAAGCGTAACTTCCATGAAAAACTCTTATTACTTCCTCCCCTTTCATCCCGACGCCTTGCTTTATTCCATAACTTACTTTATTTCATTGCTTTATTCCATAATTTCCACTGGCGTGATAACCTCATATCATGCCCTTACATTTCAGCACTGATCATGTCCATAAGGTTGGAATAATGCACTGCCATACCAGAAGCTGTCACGAATCATTCACTCCCAGAACCTCTCAAAAATGGAACCATCCTTCCCGGCACGATTGTTGCTATTAAGGTCCGCTCAAAGTTTCACTCGTCCATTCTGAAGATCATCATTCTCGGACTTAATTTACCTATCAATTATTCTTTGTTTAACTAACTGTCTTGGCTGCTCTGCTTTCTTTTCATTTTGTATGTACCGTCAACAAATGCCCTCTGTATTACTTCGGCCTTGGGGGTAAAATAAAATGTGCATCAATATTTACATCATTAAATAGTATTATTTAGTTATAGATTCTTATGTTTCACGTAACCAAGACTTTCATTTTCTAGGCGTGCTGTAGAGGGTATGGCGGACTGGATGAGTTAGTCGTGAGGTTTGCTAACTGTAGCTTTTGCAAGTCGACAGCTTCTGCGGAATGAGGTGCCGACTTGCCGAATGCTGCATGCCGGCCCCAACTTAACCATGGTCAAGCGCTTGTTCATGAGAAATGATGCGGAAGCTATCGCAACTACGCCAACTGTTAAAAGTGGCGACGAACACAGCTTGATAGTTAAGAACACATAAGCACTACACAAAGATATTACACAAGCACTACCTCAACTCTGTCAAGTACTTCGCCAAGCCGTTACACGAAGGACGTGATGAATTCGCGCTTTTATCTCGCGTAGTCGTTGATCGAGCAACTGCGTGGTCGATGCATGCCAAGGCATGAACAACATTGGCAGCTGGCACTGCCGACGCGCTGTACCAAAAACAAACAAACACGCTGCGACACTACCTGGAGTGGAAGAGCAGCCGAGACAAAAGCAACAAATAGGCAAGCTTTGTTTTTACCATGCGGAGTGAACAACGTAAATGCTTTTCATTTTATCATTTCTGAAGCGACATGCAAGGCTATACATTACAGAGCCTCGTGCCCATGGTTTCGTCCTATAACTTTGCGTAATGCAACCACAATGACCACACACCCACCTGTCAACAGCCGACGTGGTTATCGCTCTTGTCACAAAGCCCTGTCTCCCAAAAAACGCGCACTGTGCCTGTAATAAGCACTAATGAGCGCACGGCTAATTACAGCCTCAATAGGCTGACGAAGGGTCTCCGTTAGAAATAGCGATTCTTACAGCTTACCCAACGAAAAATTTAATCATGCGTTTCCCGTGCAAGACTGATTTCGACCATTGTTGACTCATCGAGTGCGCGACTGGTGCGCGTATGCGGCAGCGCAGCGGCGCATACAGTAGCGACGTCCTTCGGAGGTTTCGGACGTCCGCAGAAAGCACTTTCGTGAACAGAAGTGGTGCATAAAGCACTAGCACATCAATATATAGTATGCTATGAGAACGGTCATCATCATAGAGAATTTTGTTATTCAGTGACGTAAACACACCATTTTAGGAAACTCTATGAACACACCCACTTCTGTGGCAACATGTACAGAAACCGAAACTTTGGCTTCCGTCAATGCACTTAATTTTTGATGTGGCGCTGAATTTGTGCAAGAATTCGTGGCGCTAGCTTAGTCAGGGTAACCTTGTTTATAGCGAATGTTTTGATTGCTGTGCCGCGCTTAGGAGCACAGAGAAAGCAACACACGGGGCTGCTTTTATAGCAAGCTGAAATTTGTTTCCTGAACATCGATCCTACTCGGCTGATTAGTGCCTCCTAAGGATAAGCTCACTTTTTTCCGTGGGGCAGTTACACTTAATCCCCCTGCCATTAGGACCTGATCACCTGCGTATCTAAACCATGCACAATACCATGCAATCAGGCCTTGCATTAATACGAACCTGTTCCTAGCATACACGACTGTAGTTTCCACGAACCTCCAAGACGGTGTTGGAGCAGTAAAGTTAAGTGCTTGCACTTCCTATGGCACGATCTGCTTCATCGAGTTTACTGTGCTGCAAGGGCTATTACGTAACTTAGCTACTCGTTTTGTGTGTCTTTCTTATTCATAAATGCTCAGTTCGTATATGCATTTCTAATCACAGTCCTTGTCATCCGTGCAACAAGGTAATAAATAATGGTTAAACGAACTTTAAAGGCAGTGCTTGAACTAAAAACTATACTGTGCGGTCTAGCAATAACAAGTATGGGTTCCTCGTGTATTTTTTTTACATCCACATTTTTTGTTGTTGTTGAAGCTAACCAAAGAAAATATCACTCTTTACTGCAATGCACAACATTGTGACCTTTCTTACTCCAGTGATGTGGTTGGCCAATCATCGCAAAGACATACACTACAGGAACATTATCATAAATCAACTTGCATAGGCATTGCACGAAGCGCTTTCACATTAACAACAAGCAACCTTTGGTTACAGAGTTTCTGATGTTGATGACAATAAATGTTTGACCAAGAATTGACATACCTCAAGTGTGCAAGCCGAGTTTTATTTCAGGGGCGAAGCTCCTAAAGGCGTGGGTCTGTCCATCTCTTGTATGTACGTACGTGACCGCCTATAGTTCCTCCTTTGACAACTGCCCACTACTTCGTCCTTGCAAACATCCCACTACGCCCCATCGCCGATGCACCACTTCACCGGTCATAAAGCAAATACTGTTGAGAAGTAGCCAATATGAAGTGCAAGATGGTCATGTACTTGTATGCAGGTGCACGTTAAAGAACCATAGATTGTCCCACTGTGTCCATTCATTGTTTGTACGTAACTGCCTATAGTACAACCTCTGGAAACTGCCCACTATTTCATCCTTGCAAACATCCCACTACGCCCCATTATCGATCCACCACTTCACCGACCATAGAGCTGCTGTAATGAAGGGGGAACGAGCGTATAGCTACCACTTGAGAATAATAAAAATTCTTGTATAAATATAGTGTTTGTCACATCATTGATTATGCAGTGGTTGACATTCATGGATGGTTCATGATTTAGCAATGAGACCCTGCAGCGCTTCGCCCCCCATTCACTCCATGGATATGCTGTGATATTTTTGTTTAACTCGATATTTGTGTTCATTGTATGAAATTAGTTTTAAAAGTTCTAGTTAGAAAGCTGTAGGGTAATAGGCTTGTTTTCAGTGGACATTTATTCTTCTTGCTTTTCAAATACAAAACAAATTTCAACCTGACGAGTACTTTTCTGTATTAGTTCCAACTTGCTGCAGAATGACTTTAGCATTCCAGATGGGAGTACTCAGAGTGAACATAATCAAATATAAACATGTACTTGCTCGCTAGGTCCGAATATAGAACTAACACCTAAACATATATTAATTATAGCACATGTACTAAAGTAAACAAAACTCAATGGTAAGTGACAGACATGTCACACCATATGCATAGCTCTATAAAAAAAAAAGCAATACACTGCACAAATTCAATGATAAGTTTAGTGCTAGCAGAATATGCCAGTCCTGAATACAGTTGCATATGAGAGTGTGATGACATTTAACAAACTTTTGTTGAGGCAACATGTCAAAACTTAGAAGTAAAATTTTAAATCACAGAAAAGCAGACACAAACATTTTGCTGTAGAGAAAATTTTTGTGTTATCATCACTTAAATGAAAAAAAAATTATGCTTATACCCTAATTCAATGCCTTGCAATAATAGTTTAGGCATATGATGATGACATGCAGAATCCCGGTTGTCAATCACATATACTACACTGCTTATGCAAGCAGGCATAATGTGGCATTTAAAAAATATTGTCTGCAAATAAACTAAGCAATTACAAAGCATTAATTAGGTGGGACAGGCTGAGATTCCGTGTAGATGCTGCTTGATCGAATCTGTGCCAGTGCAGCAGCTCGTCTGTCTGTGTTTTGGAAAAGTGCCCTGATCAGCCTCTTCAATTCGTCAGGCAAGAAGCAAGCTGCCAGGGGACCCCTACCATCAGCCCATCGGTCCATTACTTCTCTCAAATTGAAGCGCAGAAGATTTTTGAGCTCGCAGAATTTCCTCCACTTGGGTACATGGTCAGAGGCTAGAACTCTCGCATCCAATGAGGATGCAGGGATGTCAAATATGCTAACAGCTTGGTCAATCACCTTCTCAAACACTTGAGCTAGTTCTTCTGAAAGTGTGGACTGCAATGTCTTCCATGCCGACTACACTTTTGACGACATTCTCGAGCACCGAGTTGAGGAGGCTACCTACAGCTTCCAAATAGCTTGTGATAGGCAGGACATCTAGCCAGACTCTCTTGAGCTGCTCTACGTGGAAAAGGCAGCGCCGCAAAGCAGCATCGAGGCCCTGGCTGTCTTCTGACAGTGGGACCTCACTCATGAAATCCAAAAGGTGCTTTCGTTGAGTATCCACCTGGTGGCAGAGGGCAACCCTCCCAATACAACGGATGCTCGAGGCAACATCCACAAGCGTGGTACGCCCGTGAAACCACACACCTAAGCACAGTAGTTCATGGGCCATATAGAGGCAGTTGTTATGGTGTATTGCTGTCTGTACAGGGATAGTCTCTATTGCATGCTGGTGGTATACTGGAGCGACACAGCAGTAGAGCTCACAGATGTGCCGCACGGCGCCCGCCTGCCACGACTGCTCACTGCAGCTGCCTTCAGGACTGTCCTTGGCGCCGTCTACCGTTTTCTTCAGCAAGGTGACCAGCTCTTTCACAGATTTGCTCACTTGGCACCTAGGAAATTTGAATGGGCTACCATTTAGGCAATGTTCCATAGACGAAGCCTTGCTTCCCACTGATTGGCGGCTCTCCAACCACAATGGTGTCGTGCAGCTCCTGTTTCATTATAGCCCTCGCTTGCAGAAGGATGCCCTGGCTCTGCTTGCTTATGCAGAGAGCCTCCAGGTTTGAGACAAGGTTGGAAAATCCAGTCTTTTCGGACGAGAGAAAGTTCGTCGCAACTAACTGGTTGTGGAAATCTAGCAGGGCACTAGCTGGATAGCTGTCCAGGCGGCTGCCGTCGCTGGGGACAGCAGGTTCGAGGCAGCACTTGGCGACCGTGTCAGAAAACTCGCTGCCGATCACACTGCCCATGATTTTAATAAGGTCTACAGCGATAACGTTATGTGCTTGCAAACGGTTTGTGAGAAAGGTGAAGAGCGTCGACAAGTTTGCGAGTACGTCCTTCACAAGCGGCGCTTTCGACTCGTTAAACTCTACGCGGAAGGTCGTCGAGCCCGGCGACGTGACGATGACGGACTCGTACTTTATCATCGGCGTGACAATGTCCGCCAGCAGGGAACGGCCGAAGCGGGACATTTTCTCGCGCAGCTGCCCTTGTCTCTGGACGGCTTCCACGAGCCTGGCGAAAGCCTCAGCTTCTTCTTTGTGTGCCGTGGCGATCGTCAGCTCAGTCACGTGAGGGGTCCGGCCAATCTTCCAAATTATGTAACGCTTCCAGACCTCTGACAACTTGTAGATGAGCCGTTCACAGCGAATAACGTGTTCCGTGTGCAGCGCGTCGACAAGTTGAACCACAGGGCCGCCTTCAAGTTCGCTCACGATACTGCCGACTTCCTCCAGGTGCTGTGAACAGGCCAGGAGGTCTTCGGACACGAACTGTGCCTCTGCCTCTTCCAGCAGTTCGTGAAGGCGCGCATAGGAGCGTATCTGCGACGACTGCTGTTCGATAGTGGCCAGTTCGCGAGAGAGCATCTCGAACTCGTTGGTGGACTCCACTAGCCGCGGCTTTACGTGATTTCAATATTCTGAAACACTTCTTCGACGTCTTCCAAAGCCGTCTTCAGGGACCACACCAATTGCTCGGCGTCTCGGTCGTAAGGCGAGAACATGTCATACTTGGAAACGAGCTTTCTTTCCATGTCCGTCTTCAAGTCCTCGATCTTGCGGGAAAGTCGAGACACGGCAGCGTTGAGGTTACCCTTTTCGAAGGACTCTTTAGGCTGCAGGACTTCCGCAACGAGCGACATGTTAGCAAAAGGCACTGACGTTCGAAGCACGAGGAAGTTTTCTGTGGTTTAACGCTCAAACAACACACAGCGCGACCACAGAACACGCGACGCTTTTACGCCAAAACGGCTCGACTCGCTTGACTGGCTTGACAGCGAAACAAGATGCTGAACTGTTTCGACGACTCGGCTTGCTACCAGTGCATAAATAAATGTTGGCACAATATTGGTGCATAAAAATGAATCTTGAATAAAGTTTTCTCTCTTGGACTTAGTTTTATTTAATTGATATTTGTGCATAAATTAGTACAGGCTAGCGGCTTCAAGGCAAGCAGCGACAGGGGACAAAAAACGAAGGACACTTGTTTTTAATGATGATGATGATAATTAAAGGCCTCTCCTTTGAATCGGGGTGACGTCATGCGCCATCTTGCCTACCTTAATAGTTCGAGTTTAAATTTTGTACCTCAACTCGGATGTCTTTTTAATTTTGCCCAGCCGCTACTCTTGGCTGGGATGTTATTTTATCGACTTCTCTGCTTTTCCTCCGCCAATACTCCAGCCGCTGCTTAGTAATATCCTCTGCTGACCAGTTAATGCTTCCATCAACCGCGAAGCCCAGCGCCTCAGGAAGTGTGACTTTCCCCCCATTTCTATCCGGCTGAATATTTTGGCATTCCATGACTATGTGGTCGATTGTTTCTTTATTTATGCCACATCCCACACATGTCGCATCCTGTGACGAATATTTGCTCCTGTAAGTTATAGTTCTCAAGCAGCCAGCCCGCGCCTCAAAGAGCAACGCACTACCTTTATTGTTGTCATACAAGTTCTCTTTCCGGATCTCTTGTTTGCTTGCCTTGTAGATTCCCAGCGATCCCTTCTTTTCCATCCTCTCTTTCCACATGAGCGTCTCTGTTTCCCTCACTTGCTTTTTAACTGGCCCCCTTTGCTTATTTGCCGCGGTCAAGTTATATTTAGTCGCCAGCTTTCGCGTCCTCTTCCGCCATTGGGTGTCCACACTTTTCAGGTACAGGTACCTGTGTACTCTGGCTGCCCAGTTCTTCTCATCTAAATGTCTAAGTCACTCCTCAAACCGTATTTTACTTTGTGCTTCCCTCGCCTCAAATGAAGCCCAACCCATATCGCCTTGTACGGCCTCGTTTGTAGTCTTACTGTGAGCTCTCAGAGCTAACCTGCCGACTGCCTTTTGGTTAACCTCCAGCCCCGACAGGATATCTGACTTTAAGCATAATACGGCATTAGAGAACGTGAGCGCCGGCACCATTACCCCTTTCCAGATGCCTCGTACTACCTCGTACTTATTGTATCCCCAAAGTGCTCTATGTTTCATTAATGCTGCATTTCGTCTCCCTTTCAGTTTGAGGTGTTCTTCATGAGCATTCAGGTAGCCTTTTCCTTCATTAAGCCAGATCTCCAAGTATTTGTACTTATTTATTAATGGTACATGGCTTCCTGTTGTATCCTTATTGGTGCTACATGAGCTTCCTCGTTGAACACCATGACTCCAGATTTCTGTGGGTTAAAATGTAGGCCTAGGTACGTCGCCTCATCACCCCAAATGTCAGCCAGTTTTTGAAGTTCTTCCGCATTATCCGCCAGCAGCACTATATCGGCATGCGTACATCAATCCCGGAATCCGTTGCTCCACTAACACTCCATTGCTTCGGTGTGACAAATCAAAGCCCAATCCACTCTCCTCTAGTCGTCTTTCCATTTCTCTAATGTACAGTGTGAACAGCAATGGCGAAAGAGGGCACCCCTGTTTTAAACCTCTTCGAATGTACACGGGCTCTGTGTATGTACGCCCTTCCCATGTAATGTGTGCCTTGTTATCCTCATATATTGCCCTTAGCAGCCTTACAAATTCTGACCCAATCCCCTCCTCTTCCAGTATATGCCACAGCAATCCCCTGTCCACGTTGTGATGGGCACCCTTTATGTCCAGAAACAGTAGCCATGTTGGTCTGCCCTGTGCTGCCGAAATTTCGATGGTCTGGGATATGACGAAAAGATTGTCTTCCAAGCGTCGACCCGGCCTAAATCCATTTTGCAGTTCCCCTAAAATACCGTTACTTTCAACCCACTTCAACAACTCGGCTTTGATGGCTTGTATAGCTAATCTATAGAGCACTGACGTGACTAATCAGCCTGTAAGAGCTCGCCTTGTCCCTTTCTCCCTTGCCTTTGTAGATCAAACTCATTCTACTTTCGCGCCAGTGCGAAGGAATCCTCTTGGATTTTATAGCGCGCTCGATGGCTCCATACAAGTGCGCCTGTCCCGCTGGTCCCAAATGGTTGATAATCTCTATCGGGATTCCATCCGGTCCTGTTGCCGTACTTTTGGGAACACTGTGTTCTGCCTTCTTCCAGTTTAAAAATTCGATATTAAATTTTTCCTCTGCCACTCTTTTATTTGCCACCTGTGTCCGGTTAGCCGACCTCTCGCGTGCTTGGCCGAAAGTATTTCCTATGACTCCATGTAGGTATTCTAATGCGCTGTCCCCCCGGAGAACGTTACCGTCCCCGTCCTGTATCTGAGTCTGCATCTCTCTTTAGTCGTCGTTCCCAATGCTTTTAAATGGTTCCGGAATTTTTGGGGGGCGCTCTTATCCTTCTTACGTATGTCCGATACCCATTTCTCACTCGCAGCTTTAATCTTCGCTTGTACTAGTTTCTGCACCTCAAATTTCTTTTCTCGGTACCGGCTCCACTGTAACTGCACCTCATCCTCCTGATATCCCATTTGCTTTGCTTTTCTGTGCAGTCTAGAGGCCCGTCGTAATAAGAACGGTAGTTAGCGGCATCTGCTGGCACTGGCTTCATCCCCCGAGTTATGACTTGTTGAGAACTTTCCATTCATAGACATCGCCATCGTTTCGAGGGTTTGTTGTGTGTGTTCATGTTCTAGCAGTGGTGCCAGTTCAAGTTCTCCACCCGCTGCGTACTGAAGCAAGCGATCTTGCCGGGTAGCGAAAATGTGTAAGTTACGAGCACCAAGCCATGTAGAGTTCACGTTTTACTAAGTCTCTTGCCCCCCGATCGCGCTTCGCATGTCGTCAAAACATGGAGCGAGGAAACCTTCGCGTTCTCAGACGCACTTTAACATTTCTTCGTTTTTCCCTCCCTCAGACGTATTCTTACTTGTTGCCGTGCATTCAAAATAAGTAAACCGAGGCAATAGGTTAAATTTTGAGTGCGGTCCAGGGCTATAGTGTGAGTGACATACTTACCGGCAACGCCAGAGGAGATTTACTGCGCCTACACATTACTGCGTATTCTTTCCTGACGTCGGGGTCCAGGTGCCGCGAAAGGGACCTTTAGTCAGTGTTTGTCAGTTTAATGCGATGGTCGATGTCTCCATTGCAGCGAACTCGGCGGGGTCGGATATGGAAGCTGGCAGCGAAGACGAAGGGCCCTGCAACGTTGCCAGCCCGGTGAGTTAAACGTCAAAATGTCGATTGTTGCTTGTTAACGAGCAGATCGCCATGTGCTCTGTTTGTTAGTAAATTACACCGTGTCATGCTGTGGTGCAGGCCTCGCTATCACAAGGCGCATAGCTAAAGCTGCGAATCTACGGTGCCTTGTTGTTATTTCACTTCCCTAACAGCTGTTGTGATGGAATGTCCAGTTGCGAAAGTTTGGTTTCCGTGCTTCCCGTTATTCATGTTGCTCCGGGCAGAAGGTTCTGAAGTCGTGCCTAAATTATTTTAAATCGCGACTGACGCCCTTGCGCTAGCTGCTGATGAGAACCAGTCGCAAATGGGAGATTTGATCCAAATGGAAAATGCTTTGCACGACTGGTTAATTTTTGAAATGTGGTTGCCTTATTATTGTACTAATCTCATAAGGTAGAACGTTCGATTACGACGATGTTCGCCTCCTTTGGAAAAAAATGATATATATATATATATATATATATATATATATATAATGCCCGGTAATCAGATTGCGCTGTTGGCTTATCCTAAAAATTAAATTAGGTGTTTGATGACTTGCACAAAGAAGATATGACCGATTCCTATATTTTTTATCACCTTAGTTTGCTGTTTGGAAATTTCTCATAATAACAAGACTGCAATTTTAATAATACATTGTATTACATCCTGCATTATAAATATCACATCATAAACAGAGACATCGTGTTTATTCCATCTTCTTTCTCTATGCGGAAGCCGCCAAGCTCGTACCATTGCACAGTGCTGTAGTCGGTAGCGACGCCTTATATAACATATCTCCTCTCGCAAAAAAACAACAGCAATGAAACACACGCACTCAAACACAGTTATTGTTTACTCTCTAACAAAGTCCTTCAATTTCTTCGAAGTCTTCTTTTTATGCTTGCTTCTTCTTACGTTTGCATCAAATTCTGACAGATTGGTTGAAACTTGCATGCCCTCTGCAGAAGATGATCCAGGGTCAGTATTTTCATGGCCATCCGCTCCTGATGTGTCAGGTTGTGGTGCATGGATCACCGATTAGATGCAGGTGACCAGCAGAAGAGGCCGATTTCATTTTGTTGACTGCTCGGAGGTGAACAGCGGCCAACTTGGTTGCGTTCCACACACGCCCATCTTCCAAGAGGTATGAGGCCAGTCCATGTTTTCCAATGATCTTCTTTGGCGCGGAGAACGGTGGAGACAGCTTGCTGTGGACTGCAAGTAACTTAACACGCACGTAATCACCAAAGACGAAGCTGGGTTGCTTGGCTCCACGTTTTTTCATCGGTGTAGCTCTTTGACATCTTTTGCTTGTTTTTTACACGCTCTTGCAACTGCTCAATCGCCCTTGATGGGCCCATGCTGAAGCATTTGTCAGGCAATCCCACTATGTCAAGTCTTGTGCGAGGTTGGCTTCTATGAAGAAGAACAGTGGATGCCGCACTATTAGTCGCGTGAGGTGTTCAGTAATATACTTGCAGGTAATCAAGCATGGCTGTTCGTATATCACGTCGTTCAAACAGAACTAGTTGAATATTGGACTTCAGCACCCTATAAAATCTTTCCACCAAGCAGCTAGCTTGTGCGTAATACCCAGAAGAGTTGTAATGCGTTATTCCGTGCTCTGCGAAATTTGTCAAAGCTTGCTGGAGAGAACTGTGGTCTATTATCGAAGAGGACAGATCATGTTATATTCTCTCGCACAAAAAGTTCAAGTAAAAACTTCTTCACTGTAGACGTGGTTGCATTTCGTACAAAAGCAACTTCAGGCCACTTGCTATAATAGTTAATAACAGTTATCGCAAAATGGCGATGAGCCAAAGCTTGTGTGAAAGGTCCTACGATGTTGATGGCAATTTTTTCCCACGCTGCATCAGGAAGAGGAACAGGTTGCAGTGGCACTGCAAAGATACGTGAAGAATTGGCATAAGACTGGCAAATCACGCATGCGTGCTCCAGTTCTTCAATGTGGCTATTCATGCATGGTCACCAATAGAACTCTCTCAGGCGAGCTTCGGTTCGACTAATGCCTGGGTGTAACTCGTGGGCAAGATCCATAAAGCGGCGTGTCAAAGTCACAGGCATGACAAACCTGTCGCGCCGGCATAGGGTATCACTTGGGACAGAGAGTTCAGCCTTCACGTAAAAGTGAGGTAGCAACTCTTTTGACAGGGATTTCTTGTCAGGCCAAGAAGTAGTTGTGAAGTGCTTAACTTCATAGATAATCTGATCGTTAGCACTTGCTTCTTGAAGTTCCTGCATGGTAACTATGGGAGACAACAGACAAATTCTTCTTCTGATGCATCGTGAATTAAACTCTGTATGGGTAGCTTGGAGAAAGTATCAGCCATGATGTTTTCGCTACTCTTCCTGTATTTGACGGTATAGTTATAGCAGAGCAATCGTGAGGACCTGTGCGCAATCCTTAATGGTCGGTGACTGGCACCTTTCGACGAAAGGAGTGTAACCAATGCTGCGTGATCCGTTCATACAATGAAAGGTCGTCTCCATAGATAAACGTACCAGTGTTCGCAAGCCCAAACACAGGTAAGGGCCTCGCGTTCACCGACTGAGTATTTCCGTTCATGCAGTTGAAGTGTGTGGGAGGCAAATGCAATAGTCTGCAGTGAGGTTCCATTGTCCTGCTGAAGTACAGTACCTAATCGATATACCGAGGCATTAGTTGTAACGTACGCAGGCAAGTGAGGATCATAGAGCTGAAGAACTTCGCAGGATGTGAGCAGAGGTTCAGGCGCTCCAAACTGCTCTTTCCTGCCGCACTATAAATGAAAAAATGCATTTCCTCGTAGCAAGGCACACATTGGCTCGACATTGTCCAAAAAATGAGGAATGAACATGGAATAAAAGCCTGCAAGTCCCAGTAGCGAGCGGAGTTTATTATTATTAGTAATTGATAGTGATAGATTATTGCCTCAATTGATGACGTCAACAGAAATAGTCCTTTAGTGCTCATAATGTGACCTAGAAGTGTCAACTCTGCCACGTCAAAGACACCTTTGTTGTTGAGCCTGAGGCCAGCGTCAGAAAGACGTTGCAAAACAGTGCGAAAGGTTTCCAAATGGTCTTCTCGGGAGCACCCATACACGATGACCAGCTTGTGGATGCGTACACAAGAAGACAAGATGACAGACACGTAGGAAAAAGTAAGCAAGGTTTGATGAAACTACCAGACATAATATTCCCAGGAGAGCCAAGTTCATATTCTCTGTATACAGAACTTGTGCGATTCACAAATCAGATAATAACATTAGTAACCATATTTTTTCTAAATAATGCATCTCCGACTTTGAATGCGTAGTCAAGGTACACTAATGCATGTGTGTTTGTTTCATTAAACCTGTTGCTAGTTCCAGCGCGTGTCTGTCGTCTTCCCTTCTTGAGTGCACATTATTAAGCTGGGTTTTTTCATTTCTTCAAGTGTGTACCAATAGTCCCAGCAACAGATTCTCCCATTTCTTCAAGTGTGTACCAACAGTCCCAGCAACAGATTCTCCCACTTACTTATAATACATGGGAATGAAGTGCTTATCACAGCCAGTGTGCTATGTGCAACAGCTAAGGAATATTTGTTTACTTACTGAGTGACATACTTTCATGAAATTAGCATATTGTATTTGCTACGTGCTGCCGGGTTCACGCTTCATGAATTGTGTACACTAGTGACACATAGCCTGTTTTAAAAGGTTGCTCCCCTAGAACAGTGGTAACCACCATTGCATGTGCTTGCGAAGCTTCTTTTCAATTATGTAATGGCACTAAATGTTGTTGGATGTTTAGTTTCGGTAACTGAACTTTCTGAACTGGCTCTATGAAAGAGTTAGGAACGAGAGGTGTATTCATTCTATAACTACACATTTGTGTAATGAGAAAAAAGGCACGAAGGAGGGGATATGAGCTATAAAATTGTACTAAGTATAATCTAGCAATATGCATGTCATGACTTGTGCTCACGTCGAGCTCACCTATTTTTTAAGGTTATTTGCATTCGGTTATTTTTCCCTGTTTTCCTGAGAAATTTGTGAATAATTGCCTTAATTGCTATTCTTGTCAATGTTGCACGGGTGCTGTCGGTCAGTATCTGCCCTGATCCAATATCTTGATCATGATTAGCCAATTTGGTGAAAGGTGGCCAGTCACAGTAAAAGAAATTGCTCCCTGTTGGGCTGAATCATGATGAAGACTGCACCGTGCTGATAGTGGTATTAGGTTTCCACAGCAATATTTTGTAAACGGGCCAGCGTCATTGTAGAAAAGTAGCGTGGCTACATTTATGTCTGCTTTAAAAATGATGGAATTTCTATATTTCAATGCTGCATTCTTATGGTATGCCATGTATTCTTTTGCTTCATATATGCCTGTCATAGATTTATACAGAAGACGACATAACACCACCAAAATCTCTCTAAATATTCGTGGTATGCAAAATTATAACTTCAATGTCTGCTGATTGTAAACATTGCCTCATTTTTTCATCTATGTTTTATGATGGTCTTGCTTTTATAATTATGTTAATAGAATTCCCAATTTTTTGCCTGCACAATCAATGCAAAAAGGTGCAACTTGAAGTTCACCAATGAGGTATCACGTTAGGATATCTGCACAAGCATGATCAGTGCGCTCTTGAACAATTCGCATAAAAAGGACTGAAGTTGATTTGTGGGGCTCTCAAGCAATCGAGGCTTCAAACTGTAATTGTTTTTGTTTTTTTATTAAATGTATGTAAGGAGAGGTCGGTGCCAATGCGAACTGTAATTGTTGAGTTGATTGACAGCACTGTCTAAAAAAAAATGTCGCAATATTTTTTTGTCAGGCACCCCTTTCAAAGAAATAATTTGGGGATACATTTATTTTGCTGTTCCGTTTTTATTGCCTCATTGCTCACCTGTGCACTATTTTTTTCTTGTCTTGATCTCCAGTCACCGGTGGCATCACCCGACTCAAACAACAACAGTGAAAGTGTGCACAGTCCGGCAGGCTCCGACAATGAGGATGGGAGTGGCCAGGGGAGTGGTCAAGAAGATGAAGACAACAACGAGGTGTCCAGGGACTCTGGCAGTGAGGGGCAAGGTGACAGTGCGGGCAGTGGGTCAGACAATGAAAAGAACAGTGACGCAGAAGTGCGGAGTTCTCCGAGCTCTCCTGCTGCTGAAAACAACAGTGCCACTGGTGACCAGTCAGCGGGAGAAGAAGAAAACGGTGAGCTGAATTAAAATTTCACCTAAATGAGCAACTTTGACATTTCATTGTGATTAGCTGCTGAGGCTGATTTGTGTGTGTTCCTTATTATTATTTATTTGTGGGCTTGCCAAAACTCTGTTCATACTGGGGTTCATTTTTCTGGCATTGCATAAGTGGAATTGTATGGTCCAGCTTAGGATCGACCCCTATGTTCTGGGTCCTCTTGCATATGTCTATAATGGCAGGAAAACATTGGAGAACTTCTCAGTTTAGATTCTGTAGTTCTAACCTTAATGGCGGACGGGGGCATTCAATGCAGGTTACATTGCATGAAGCACAGCAGGCACCAGCCTGCTCGCAAGTTAGGGGTTATGCCAGTTGTTTTCGATCATTTGTGTATGTGGTGGTGTTACTCTTGACATTAAGCAGCCTTGGTCACTGTTGATGTCGGAGTGAGACTGCTGAAGAGCTGTCGGGGTTGTCAGATGTATATGCTCTGCTCCAAACACACAATGTTTGGCAGCCATAATTGATAGGCAATTTCATATACATATATTTTTATCCACAGTTCATTATAATTTATCATCACACATTTTGAACTACTAGTCAGTGCTACTCTACAAAGTAGCGACCACTCATGACAGTAACATAAATACTAATCTTTTATATATACTTCAGTGCCTTAGTAAACATACAATTTTATGATGATTATTCGAGTCTTGATGTGCCTTACATCAGGCAGGTTCTAGGTGGGTTTGCTAAAGGTGGCTGTCGCACAGTTTAGTGTATGCTGCATTATGTATGTGGTATTAAGCACACCTGTTGCTGTGTGGTGTTTTCAAGAAAAAGAGACCCAAAAAAGCTAGTTCCCTCTGAAGTATAGTTACTGCTTTGTTTTCCTCTTTCGTTGTCTTGTGATTAGATTAAGCTTAAGACATGGCTCATTAAATCATATGAAATGTCTGCCTTCCTCACATAGTCATAACACAATTGTGCAAGGTCCTTTTTTCGTTCTTGCCAATGCAAGCAAAAATGTTCCCACTAAAAAATGTCTGGCAGTGAAAGTTGGGGCGCTTTTGTGTGTACATGTGTCTTAGTTCAAATATTTAGGCCGCTGCAATGGTGTGGTGGCTAAAGTGCTCAGCTACTGACCAGAAGGCCACGGTATCGATCTCGGCTGTGGTGGGTGCATTTCAATATACTCTTAATGCTGGAGACCTGCGTACTGTGCAATGTCAGTGCTCATTAAAGAACACCAGATAGGCGAAATTTTCAAAGCCTTCCATTATGGCACCCCTCATTCTCATATTGTGGTTTTGGGATAACCTCAGACATTATTATTCTGCGAGTATTTACTGGAAGCTAAAATGCAGAAATCTGCGGGACAGGAACTCTTTGAAAGCGTGCTCATAATGTTCAGTTCCTTGAGAACATTGTCTTGCGGCTGTTAACATTCCGATGTCCAGACATTGTGTTTCATGAGGCAAGTGAATGAATCTTTTTTCATAAAGCTTGTTATGCCTGCTGTTTCACTAGCTCACTGGTTCTGTTGTTTTTATTTCAGCGCAAGGAGACGATGACCGGGAAAGCCGACAGAGTTCTACCTCGGGTGCAGGCGGTGAACAAGGTGTAGCAGAGCAGGCACAGTCAGACAGTGGACAGCAGCAAGATGACGATGAGGAAGCACCGTCACTGCACGACAGCCCGCCTGCTAGCCCAAGCCCTTCAAACACTGGTGCTGAAGAGAGAAGTAGTGCTCCATCATCTCCTGTGAGGCGAGTCTAAACACAATTATGTTTACATACCTGCTTTAGATGTGCATACAGTTCAGGAGACGTTATCGCAGAAGAGCCACACATTCCCTTTCCTGCAGAAGGGAGAGAGATTGAACAACACCCGTAGGTCGCGGGATCGAATCTTGGCTGCGGCAGCTGCATTTTCGATGGAAGCGGAAGTGTTGCAGGCCCGTGTGCTCAGATATGGGTGCACGTTAAAGAACCCCAGGTGGTCCAAGTTTCCGAAGCCCTTCACTGCGGCGTCTCTCATAATCATATAGTGGTTTTGGGACGTTAAACCTCACATATCAATCAGATTGAACAACAGTAAGGTGCAGAAAGATACATGCACATCGTTGTCTCTCATAATCTACTTCACATCCAACTGACATGCAAGACAGTTGAAAAAGGAGACTTTCTGCACATGTGCTAGATTATGTCATAATTCACTTGTCTGTCTCCTGCGAGTGCTCTGCCCCCTTTGTTTTGTGCAGAGCACTTGGCATTATGTGACCATGCAAGCCACAACAACAATTGGGAATGCTTGTGATGTTGCTTGGATAAATAGAAGTGCAGCACAGGGTGCTGTGCTGGTTTCAAAAAGTGTTAGCAATTTTAACTTCCCTTGTGCCACAAACACCATATGTACTATGTACATAATTTTAGTTACGTATGTATATGATTTTAGTTGGGTGCATTTACAGTGCAGACATCACTCTTCAACTACAGGCTGTCAGAGGGCCAGGACCGTCGCCGTGATTCACTGCACCCCGGTTCCGTCTTGGGTGGAGCCACAGACTTGATGGGGAGCCCTAGGGCTACATTCATTTTTCAGGACTATTCAATGAAGTTTTTGTCACGTCATGTCATTTGCATTATTGACGAGAGGAGTGAATAACAAAACATGGACGATTAGGGGGAGGCATTCTTGATATCACTGTACCCTGAGCATCAGCTCCGGCTGGTGAAAAAAAGGGTACGGGCTTTCGGCACCATTCTATGGCTTCCAGGATGAAAGAAGTCACCCACCTCTAGGCAAAGGCAACACACACCTGGTTCTGGAATATAGTTTCTCTGCAGAGAGCTACGCAAAGGATGACTTGCTGCAAAGCTGCGAGCAAATAGAATCAGTATTTTCACGAGCCTTCCATAGCCTTCTGCTAATATGTAGGGGGCTCAACCTAATAAAGTTGGGAATTTTTAATTCACTGCTGCCAGTATCTGAATTTCCTGGAAATAGGCCCACATACGAGGTACTGTAGTTTTTTAGACCACGAAGCCAAGCTAAAACTCTGTAATGCGACTGTGAATTATGTAATATAAGCACGACGAGCCCGCCTTTGCAGCATATAAAGATTCAATAACTTAGTAATATGAGCACTCACTGGAAAATGCTCAAAATAGTAGTCCTGCTGTCCTGTTTCTACTTCAGTGGCCCATATGATGGCCTAAAATAACTTGCTACTTTACATCTATAATAATTTTGTGAGGTACCTCTTGTTGAAGGAGCTAAGTAAACATGGCACAGCTTTTTTTTCGTTTTCCATGGCTTTTTTTCTTTTGCATTTATAGCTACGTACATCTGTGAAATGTGCAGGAGAAATTCCGAGGACGAAAAATACTCCGATCAGGAGGATGCGAAAGAAGCAAGATCGGACAAAGACGAAGATGACTCGGACAAGGAAGACTCTGACAAAGGATGAGGACAAGGATGACAGTGACAACGAGTAAGTGTGTAGTTTTGATTACTTAAAATGCATTTCACATTCAGAAGCTGTAAAGTTCAAAGGAACTACCCGCATACTCACTGAGAGCATCATTCATGTTAAAAAACATCAGCCATGGAAACAATGTTTAATAAAGTTTCGCTTGTGTTTCAATTTGCAGGTCAAAGGTTGGAGAACTAATCGCAAACATCTTTGGCGACAGTGACGATGAATCTGAATTTGAGGTAAGTCAGGTTTGTTGCTTCTGGATTCAGCTTGGCTACTGTCACTTGCTTCAAATCTTAATCTGACCTTGTTGCGAGCATACACTATTTTTGGGAAATGTCATTAAATACGTGCTCTATACAAAACTATTTTCACTTGAGTTGCACTTCGTTAAGTAGTCACTGAAATGTTTTTTTTTTTTAATGCAATTGGTCCGACTGCAACTTGAGTACATCATTCACACCGTAATTAATGCAGTGCACCTTGTATCAAGGGAGCTAAGAGCGATTAAAAGTAGCACTCCTTCCTAGCCACACCTTTCCTCCTCAACTTTCTCGATAAGCAGTCAGGGCTAAGCTCTGGCTTTTGCATTACTCTGTGCTTGTCTGATTTATCTTGCACCACCAGGTGGCACCACAAACCTACTGCTTGCATTTTCTCCCCTGGTACAAATGCCAACACTTATTTAACAAGTATTTAACACATATTTAACAAGTATTTAAGCAGCTCATCGAAACTATCCCATCCTAACTATCATTATATTAGTAGCCTTTCCATCACCCAATTCCTGATGTAATATCCCAGCCGGGACCTTTGAGATAATAAAATGAGTGATTTAATGAGAAGCCAGTCAGTTGGGTCACACAAGTAACATCCAAAACGGTGCCAAATCCCGAAACCAATGCAGCAGAAAAATCGCTGCCGCTGTGTGCTGCAATCATTATTGATATGCGTGTTTTATACCTTAATTAATTAAAGACCCTGACATTTCTCTTTAATTTAAGTTTATGATCTATGTTATGAGCTCAATGGCTTGCTAAAAGACTGTCTAAACTGTTTGAGGGTCCTCACTCCTGGCGCAGCATACCACAAGTGCTTTGATACAGCATATGCACTACTCTGAAATGCTGAAGTCATTAATGGGCTTTGTGTGTAATAGTGCTGAGGCAGTCTTAATACTTCATGTTCATTGATGATTCAGAGCTTATGTGAAATGCTTTTTCTTTTGTCAGGGCTTTGGAAATGAAGACCTGGTTAGCACAAAAAAGAAAAAGGATAAGGCAAAAAAAGGAAGAGCAAGGAAAGGTATGCATTTAGTTATGTCGGAACCAGTGTTGTGATTAACACACTGTGAGCATTGTAGTTAGCATGTTGTGTACAACATCCACTCTTTGTGTACGCATGCCTGTGGTTGAACTTTGAGGTTTTCTTGATTGCTACTGCCCACTAGTGTCCAAAATTAAAGCCGAAGCAGGACTGCAAGGTCATAACCAATTTTTGGTGATGTGAAGACTAGCACAGAGCTTATTTCCTCATGCCATCTTTCCTTGTTTTGAGAGAAGATAGAAGTCGATTGAAGTGCGCAACAAATTCTTATAACTCTGCTTGACACATTTTAAATTCTTGTGGCTATTGATTCGTTAGGCTAAATACTATAATAATGAAGTCTTTCAACGATTACTTGGAAAAGTGTCACAGGGCACCTATAAAGAAACTTTCTGCCTTTTTTGCGGCGTGCAGTGCTGTCTGACAGCGAGGAGGAGGAGGAGGACAATGAGGATAAGGAGGAAGAGAAGGCAGCTGACTCTGACGAGGATGAGGACAAGGACATGGGGGTGTCAGCCGAGCCAGAGGATCTTGGGGCTGAGGAAAGTGAGCAGCCAGCTCCAGCTAGCCAAGCTGTGCCGGATGTGTCCAGCTCCGACGATGAGCTCGAGCCTGACAGCCGCCGCTCGCGGTGCGTGGCTGCCAGCATACTCATTCTTCACACTTCTTGCTTTGTACCATGCTCACCTGCTGTACATCAGGCATGTAATCCAGTAGTTTATACAGGTTCATTTATCTGTGCTTAATATCACTGCATGCATAATTGTACAAGAGTATTTACCATTGTGCACGTTGTAAATGACTCGTCAGTATTGTGTCTGGGCATCATCCATAGAAATGTCGGCATTTTGAATTGTTTATTAGGAGGCATGTGTAGTCTGCTCTTGCATACCGAGACATTATTTTAAGAAATTTTCTTTTGGAAATCAGCACGTCTTGAAAAATTTAAACTTTCAGCTGGCAGAATGCTAAGTGATAATAATAGGCTCTTTATGTGTTGAGTTTGTTAACTACCCTACAAATGAACAGAATGAGTTGAAAAAAAGGAATGTTCTTCCCTTTCTTTGTGCGTATGTGTGCACTGATTTTTTTTATATGATGGTCGGTGATAGTTAAGGGAAACAAATAGTTACTGTGAATTCATACTTAATTAAAAAGACAATTGATTTACAAATGCTATATTTTAACTTTTTTTCCTTCCTACTGACTTACAGTTATATAGTTTTAATTCATCTGGTTCGCCTTTTTATTTTTGTGGCCATCGATGGTGACAACTGTGCACAATGGCACTGAAATAATTCATAGGATTGCTAGAGCTCTGATCGCTGACATGTGTAAGATCTCCTGTTCAGTGTTACTAGTCTCAAGGGAGACAGTTTTTATAAACTGTCAAACTTGTTAACACACAGATATGACGAAGTAGTTAAAAATTGTTTTTATGGTATTGCTGTGTAATATGTACATATGTTACTTTGAATATGAAAAGCAGTGAATGTATCTTTGTGTTGGTGCGATTCGTGTTATGTTGAGGTTCGACAGCATGGTTTATCAACGTTATATGTGCGTATTGAAACTGGTTACACGCACTTAGAAGTTCAAATGCATCTTGCGATTGGTCCTTCTGTTTCAGAAATTCTGATTTCATGTCAGACTTCGACATTATGATGGCCAAGAAGAAAGAAGAAAACTCTCGGCGGAGGAAACGAAAAGATGTCGACATCATTAGTGACACTGATGACATCATAGTTGAAATAATCAAGGAAATGAAGGCTGCTGCCGAGGTTAGTGTGCTGCCTGTCATTCTTACAGCTGGCTTTGTAACATTTACTAGTATTTCAATGCCCGCACTGGTTCACTTCACCGTAGGTTAATTAGAATGACTGGTATACTGTCGGTGTCCTGGGTGATGTGCTGCTACTCACATTCTTTGATATAGAGCTCAAGCGAAATTTGCGGTTTTCTCTTTGCATGAAATGAGTGTAACACTTTATTTCCGCTCATATTCACTGTTTTAGAAACCTTGGTTTGCACAAGCTAGAAAGTTTGCAAACTTCCTGTTTCTCTCTCAGCTGCTGTTGTGCATTTATTTATTTAGACGAGCAAAGGCCTTGTCAAGCTTTTCTTGATTGTCCCGGCACTTTTGTTTACAGTCAGAATGCCTCTTGGTAGGTAAGGTAGCAGCACTGTAGCAGGGGCTGTGAATATTAGTGTGCTTTGTTAGGGTCACTGAAGGAAGCATGCTAGATTCATTCTACACTTAAACCACGATATAACTGAAACTGGATATAACGAAGTAAGTGAAAGGCTGTCTTGCAGTAGGTATAGTGTTAGGAATAACCCTTTATAGCGAACTTTCGTATATAGCAAACTTATTTTTGTGTAAGATGCAACTTTGTTATAACAAGGGTTGAGTGTAGTTATCTTCAAAGGTGGGGATACATATTGTGTGGGATCCAGCTGTTTGTAAGTTGTCAATACCATGCTGGTACAACTTTTACGTTCTTGAAGCTAAAAATTTTATGCGCAGGCTGTGTCAGTCAGTACTATAAGTCTCGTTCTTGACAAGCTTGTGAACTAATTCTTACCCTCTGCGTTCGTTGCACCTTGAAGAAATAATAAATAATGACAGCAAATATTTACTTAATTTAAAGAAAATGCTTTTGTGCCTTGGAATCTAGGAAGACAAGGAGCTGAATCAGGCCAAGCGTGCGGCGACTAAAAAACTGAAGCTGCTGCCGACGGTGTTGCCCCAGCTGAAGAAGCTGGACCTGAAGGGCGCCTTTCTGGACCAAGGGGTGCTGCACGCCATGGCCGAGTGGTTGGCTCCCCTGCCCGACAAGAGCCTGCCCCATCTGCAGATCCGCGAACACATGCTGCGCCTGCTGGGTGAGTTCCCTCCCCTGGACCAGGGTTTCCTCAAGTCGAGCGGCATTGGCCGGGCCGTCATGTACCTCTACAAACACCCCAAGGAGAGCAAGGAGAACCGTGAGAGAGCCGGCAGGCTCATCAACGAGTGGGCTCGACCCATCTTCAACTTGAATACAAACTACTCTTCCATCTCCAAGGAGGAACGTGAACAGAAGGACTTTGAGCGCATGCCCCAGAAGCGAAAAATCAGGTGGGCACACGTGATATCAACGAAAGTGGGGTTCGCACAGGAATACACGTGAATACAACAATGCCACATTGGATACTGCAGATCGGTGCATGCAGAAAATTCTGCGAGGTGGCGGGAAAGTCAAGAAGGCAAATTGACAACAACCTGTTTAATGTTTGAGCACGAAATTCTTGTGGCTTTCTGATTGAGCTATTTTTGTACAAATCTCAGTGCTTTTCAAGAACTGCAAGTGACTTGGAAGAATACCTTGATAAAAACTTCACTTTGTGAGGTTTTTGTCAACACCCATTGTACTCTTCCAAACAGGATGGAGTCCACCGAGGAGCCTCCAAGTAAAAAGGACATCGACAAGGCTTTAACTGGAGAGGACAAGTGAGTACCCGCATTGTTAACTGAAATTACAGTGATGGGGTTTCCAAGTCAGCACAAAGGTGTAGTTTTATGAACGCGATGCTTTACACATCTACATATCCTGGCAACAGAGAAATTCGTAAAACCTGCGAGTGGGGAAGGGGGGCGGGGGGTGACAGACTTTTTTTTTTAATTTTAATAGGATTTCACCTTAGCGACAAAGCATAATCTTTTTTTGCCACCATAAGCAAAATCAAGGTGCTGAATTATTTTCTTTCACTTTTGACACCAAAAGAAAAAAAAAAACATCACTAAAAGTAAAGGGGGGGGGGGGCAAACACAAGCGCAAACATCAGCGTTGTGGTGTCATAATAGCTTGGAGCGGCCAAACACATGAGGATAGGGTTTTCCACTAAGGTGAGAGTCTGAAAGGGGGAGCGCAAATGCTCCCAAAATTTCGCGTCATCAAAACAACTAGCAAAACAATCAATTTCCGTTGGAACAACTCTCGTATGTCTTAGACGTGAACGTACGGGGCGGCGCAGCTGGCTGCTGCGAAAACACGGGTCAAAGCTTTGGCTTTGCTCGATAGATTCTTTGGACAGGAACGCCAAAACACTTCTAGCCTTTTTAACGTCTTTACTGCCTTTAATCTACCGCTGCGTCAGCCACGTGCCCTCGGATTTCGTAGATCGCTATTGTCAAGCGTTCGACTTTCGGAGTTCTGTCAGCCTTACATGATCAAGTCGAATGACTGAAGTTTCATCCACAGCGGTTGTGGCAACGACTATCACACGTACTGTAGAAAAAAGTGCTTGCATTGGTCGCACGCGTACTTTCGAAGCTTGAAGCACGCTGCTCTTGATCGGCCTTTGTTCGATGGTTCCGGTACAGAAGTTCATATCACACGCTACGATCAGGAAAAGTGTGCAAACTGTTCAAATTTTGGCCCAATGGACACATGAATTTGGCTGGGAATTTCACGAATTCGTATTTTCCGTGGTTTTGCATCACTGAAACTGTACTGTATGTTTAGATGAACGCCTCTCAAATTCGTTTATAATGAAATGCGATGGGCTCGCAAAAAGCCTAGAACAGACTGACCTGCATTTTTGTCAATGCGGCCAGATCTCGCTCACAAATTGTGATTTTCGAGAGATTTTCATGGCAACAATACAAACCGGGAGAAACGGGCGAAATCCGGGAGTGTCCCGGACAATGAGGGAGACTTGGCAGGTATGTGATGATAATAACACCAATACATGTTGTTCTCTTTTGGCAGAATATCGCACAATGCCGTTTTTGTGTCCTCCGCAACTAGCTACGGCAATGCGCTGAAGCCAATGGCGGAGGCCACGCTTTATTTTTTTTTATCGGAAATGATATACTTTTCTTAAAATCTAGGCAAGATTTGTAAGATCGTAAGCACGGTCGAAATTCGTAAATTTTACGGGAAAATTGGAAGAGTTGGCTTGGTGAGCAGCAATTCGATTTTAGCTATATTTATTAATAACTGTGTTGTCATCGTTTGAATTAATCTCCTGACGATACAAAAGAGACTTCTACAATACATGACAAGGATGCGTAGCTATGGCTGTGTGGGAAAACGCTCTGCATCACCTGAGATGAAGGAATTCATTCTAGAGCTTATACAGCCAACATTGGATGGATCCAGCACTTCGAGAAATGAAAGAACCTTTCTCTCCACCGTTGCACAGCTATGTGCAAATGTCTATTTTAATTTGAAGGGGGAATTTTTTTCCTTTTTCACTCGTTCTAATGCAAGGGAGGACAGCAGTTCATTGATGGCAAGTACCACCGAAGGTATTTATAAAAAAGAAAAAAAAAAAAGATTTGCGTCAATTGCTCCGTGTAGTGGCCACACCAACAAATTTGAACCCAAACTTCAGATACATGCAGCCCTTACTTGGATACATGCGGCATTAATCAAAGGACAGTTTTTTTTTTGGTTACGTTCATAGTTTAATGAAGAAAACAAACAAACCATCACATATTTTTTTTCTAGGGTTGGTATAGAACATGTATTCATAGGTCTGAAGTTCCATCCAGAAAGTAACCACAATGCCACTGATTTAAAATGTAGAGTCATTCTTCTGATAAAAGGAGGTCACGGCTGCACTGATGACAGAACTCCTGGTGCTACTATAGCTGTGCTTAGGGCAAGTGTGACATCACACCCATTTCTTGTCGGTTTGTGTGTTCTAAGACAGCTTATTGTTTACCAGGTCTCTGAGGCCTGGTGAAAAAGGATGGGTGGCAAGGGCTCGTGTGCCGATGCCGTCGACGAAGGACTACGTGGTCCGGCCAAAATGGAACTGTGATACAGAGTTTGTCAAGGTGTGTGATCCGTGACCGTGCGAAAGCTTTTCACAGTATCACAGTGTGGTGTGCATGCTTTACTTCCCTGTATCTCTGTTGAATGCGACTCTAAATTGCAGGTTTTCATAGACCTCTCTACTTCAAGCATAAGCATTGTGTCCAACTTGGAGTACACTTAAAAACCAACCAACATAGTACCACTTTATCGTGTTTTTTTTCTTGGCATGGTCTTTGCAGTATAGAAATTGAAACTGCATTTTAACATGGCAACTGGACATTACGACCGTGGTAGGACATCAATTATTTCCATTTACTGTGCTTGTAATGGCATATTGAGCTTCGGTGCACGTTGTAGTTTCATACAATAATACCTAGAGGGGAATCTGGCGCTAGTGTCTATGCGGGCTCCTTCAACGGCAGCTTGTACCACCATGAAAATTATGGGAAGTACAGGATTCCGATCTCCTTCTGATGGATCACATTCTTGAGATTCGTAACGCTTGTCTGTCGAGTGCAAAACAAACTGCTGTGAGGTTATATCCAATTGAAACTTACTTACTTGTTTTGTACGTAAATCTAACTGCAAAATGTTTTCGCGACTACGAGGTAGAATTGAAACCCATAGAAATGCAACCACCAAGGTATGCATTGCTTTGCCATTACGTTTCATATTTGGCATCAAGAGGTAATGATGAATTTTTTACAACACTCGCAAACAAACACGCTTGTTCCTTTCCTTAAAAGTACCCATTATCTATTTATGTAAATAACAGTACCATATTAAGTGAGAAACAATGTGTCATCTGCTGCGATACCGAGGTGTGCTTGTCCGAGCTGTCTGACCCCAACGCACCTCTCGTTTTGTTGTGAAGTCAAGCATAGGAGTGTGACGGTGCGTCTAACTAGGTTTGCCGTAGTTTTGCAGTCGACATAAAAAGAGTTCTGGCAAGAAGCGATTATGAAAACACGTGAACTCAATGCAACATTCTGCACTGGCATGAGACGCTACATCTATGGCCAGGGGTGTGTGGACGACGCTTTGCTTCAACTGTCAAATACGACTTGTAAAGCGCCAACGTAGCAGCAAATCAAGAGACCAAGCGGTCTTCAGCCTATTTGAATGACAAAGGCGCTGCTTCAGAGCTTTACAGCGCACCCCACTACCCACGCTGCACAAAGAATGAAAACTGCAACTAGAAAAAGTTTTGTAGACAGTTCGCTAGCTTCCGCAATCCAATTTGAAGCCTGTACCTCTTATTATTGCTGTAGGGGTACACGATCGCAGCGCCATATTTCTCTCTGGGTATTATTGTATGAAACTTTATGGTGCATGTTATGCCCATGTATGGCACCAACTAGCTCCATTTCCTATGCTTGTAATTTGGGATTTCTTGGTTGTTGTGCATTTCACAAAAACTGAAAACTTTTCAAGTCATGCTCAACAGTGTATCGTAGAAAGTTTGAGCTGATAGAGTTGCTCTTTTTATTCTTTCATATTTATAGTATTGCCCTTGATTTCTCGTAGAACACCAAGAAGACTGTGACAAGGCTTGACAAGCACATGCGGATGATTCAAGAGAGGAAAAAGAGATCCAAGGCTCAGAGAGCAGTCACTATTAGTATAGAGGGAAGGCATATGTCCTTGTGATTGTTCATTTTAACATTTTTTTTTTTAGGATCTACAACTCTTGCCGCATTACACAATCAGAAGTGTAAAGAAATAAAATATGCATGCGTGTAAACATGTTTTTATGCTTTTTGCTTATCACTGTATTCTTACACAAAAAGCACACTTGAGAAATGTAAGTCAAGATTATTTGCACCTTGTTTCACTAGTTATATGTGCTAGCTCGTGTTCATCTCAATTGTGGGCTAAAATATTTTCTAAACTGGTTTCAAAAAAAGAAAAAAAAAAAAACTATCGTCCTAGGCCAATACCATAGACTGAGTAAATGGAAATCTGTTAAATGGTACTGCTGCTTAAATGGAACAAGTGCTTCTGGCAAGATTGGTTTTGTATTCTGCACCCTTGTTGAGCTCTCAGTGTATGGAACTCGTGCGGAATGTATTTTTCATGATGCCTTTAGCTTTCGTTCAATAGGTCTACTACACATTATTCTTCTGCAAGTTTATTGCCATTGACCTTGGTATTATAGGTAGCAGAGGAAACAAAAATGCAAGAATGATTTTTAAGTTTCACATCGAAACCCCAGTACCAGACTGTTAAGGGAAGACTAGTCCAGTAGGCAGAAAACTTTTGGAAAAAAAATTTGAAAAATAATTTTTCACAATCGATCAGGTCTACAAAAACTAGTATTTCTAAAATATTAGAGATTTAACACATACTTGTCTAGTAATTTGGCCTTGAAGTCAGTTTTACGACTATTTTTGCTTGCCAAAGTGGCTTAACAAAAGTCCAATTTCGGTTTCATTAGAAAGACACTAATTTTATTAGCTGTCCCTAGCATAAGAATGCTATATTACATTGGCTGTTCTTAGCATAAGAATGCTATTAGTCAGGCAGAGGCAAAGCCATCGTGCTTAAGAACAGTTCTCACTCGGCGTTGGTGCATTTTCATCACACGGTAAATTCTTTTATTCAGCTTGGATGTTTAAAGATGCATCTGCTAGACAGTGGTGGATCATCGCGTTGCCCGCAATTTTGTGGAGACACCCGATGGCGGTCCAATGGCAGGCAGTTGTCACAAGTTCAGAATTGCTCACCCATCCGAAAGAAAGTGATAACAGTGGCTGCAAAAATGCAGTGTTCCGCCAGCGAGACCAAGGTAAAAAGGAATCATACAAAGAAGAATAATGATAAGCGCATTCCTGGTGGCCTCTATGATCATAAAAACATAATTCATGCCTTTTAAAACTCAAAATAAGTGCTCAACATGTTTCTGAAGTTTTTTTAGTTTTTCAAAACCACATCTTTCTTTACATCAGAGATTGATGCCCATAATATCTTTTGATGTAATAGTCTGATTTTGAGAATTCTTGCAGTATTTGAAGGCTTATACATTTATTAGTGCAAAAAATTACTATGTTTTTATTTAGAACTGTGGTTTCATAAGCAGTAAAATTAACAGAACAGTTTCTCATAAGTCTGTTCGTTTACACCATAACTTTGAATCAATACAGCTAAATATAAAGAGGGTTATTTTGCACTCTGGTTTTTATGGAGTACAGTTATATCAAGTTCATAAAGGTCTTTTCTGAGCAAGCTGGGAAAAGGCTGGGCAGAATGCAAGTTTACGGAACAGCCAATACCTTAAAATTCGTGCATGATAAAAAATAAGCGAATGCATATTTGTTTTCAGCACTTAAAAATACATTTTAAATATAATAAAAAATGAAATGGGCAGTTTTCGGGCCACTGTCTCCCCTTAAGCTAAGGATTTCGAAGTTTTACATTGGCTCAGGAAACTGGCTCAGTAAAAATTCCTAATACAAAGTCTCTGGGTCTCTTGCAACAAAAAATTTATTTGCATTTATGCTTGCGTAAGCACAAGTAAAATCTGCAAGGCCACGGTGAGCGCGTGTAGAATGTGTAAAATCCTCAGGGTGCTTTGGATATTGTGTAAAAGTAATTAACCAATACGAGCAAAATTATTTTCTTCAGTGTCCCTTGATGTACTGACACACTGTTACCCGTAGGGAAGAGTTTGATTCGGGCTGTAATGCACAGATCTGGTGGCATTCTTTAAAAATTTATTTGCATAGAAAAAAAAGGACATGCCGCAAGGAAAGGACATGCCGCAAGGCTGCACAATTTAGTTTGTTGCAAAATATTGAGACAAATGGCGAGGCATATGATAGAACTTCTCTGGCATACAATTCCCTTAACTTATAGGAGTTGTCCCGCGAACAAGCTCTGCCAAGGCTGGATTGACACGAAGGACACGTCGGGGATGAATTGGTAAAACGGCATGCGACATATGGGTCGGAACGCGTCGCGGCTAGCATTCTTCCGGCAACAATGTAGTCACGTCAAAGTGAACCAAGTAGTACTATCTTAACTTCTATACGACAAAGCACGTGCATTTATGCAAAGGCATAGGGATGCTGTGCTCTTTCACTCTTGCTGCTCTTGGCTGGCCTCTCGAGCAGAGTGCTCTTGTATGAACAATTTCAATTCAAGGCGGCTGGTGCTACACTAAGGCATCTTGCAGTGGCCATTTTGGTGCTTTTAGCTGGAAATCTCCGCTGGGCCTGCGTGAGCGTTGGAATGGGTGACGCACAAGCTCACAATATGTATTACGCTAGCTCCACAACCGATTCAGTGTGTACCGAATCCAGCTTAATTAAGCTTGTGGCATCACTGTTGTGGTTCGAAAGATGGTAACTTATCATGCATTAAAAAAAAAAAAAAAAAAAAGACCTCCAAACACTCTGGGCACACTTCAGTGGTGGTACGAGTATAGACAGTGAACACATTGCACATGTGTGTCCAAAAAAAAAAGAAAAAAAAAAAAGCAAAGGGCATAACTTCAGTCATACTCAGAAATAGATCACATAAAAATGCTTTTTCCTTAGATGTGAAAAATAGCATATATATATATATTTAACACTGTGATGCGTCATCACACAAACCTGTACACGATACGTTTGCAAGAAATCGGGACCTCCTGTGCGTACATATAGTGCCATAAAGCCGCCTCTAAATCAAAATGTGGAAAATGTAGCGCCGCAACTTGCAGGTGGAACTGCAACCTCCTCTTGAATGTGAAACATGCTTTGCAGACCTGAGAATTGGCTGCTTCAAATGACTGGCCCAAATGAGTGCATAGCAGGTACAGCTTTGCTGCAAAATACAGCAGTGTTAGGAAAAAAGGGAGGAAGGGCTCAACAAACACAAGATCATGCATGCAAAACAAGACGAGCCAAGACGTCCTTCATGCCAATTTTTCCCAAACAGAGCCTTGCCAAGCCTCCTTTGCAGATTCCAGAGAAAGCACGATTTTCAGTTGCACTTCAAAGAGCAAGATTCCTTCTTTCCGCGAGTCAGGTCCCAGCAAGCTTGCAACTCTTGAACGAATAAATGAAAGTCTCGGCCGTTGGTCTGCAACTTGGCGTTCTGCAAAAATGGCGTGGCAGCCTCATCGAAACACAGCCATCCCCAATCCCTGCATGTCACTTTTCCTCCAGGTCGTGCATGGCAAGAGGCGGCGGAAGTAATTGGTGTAAAAAAAGTCTCTGAGCACACTCGCTAGGATAACAGTGAGCAGCGACCAGATGAGTTGGGGTAGGGTGGGGAGCAGTGAGGGTCATGAGTTGCGTAGCTGTATGAACAGCGTCTCCTTGGGGAAGAGACCCAGGTCACGCAGTGACAAAGAGTGGTCCAAATCACTCAGATTGCGTCGCGGAAAGTTGGTCACCAGCTCATGCGTCTCCTCGCCGAATCCATTGGACGATGCGTACAAGATGAGTGCCTGAGAATGTGAAGCATATGAAAAGGCGATGTAAGTAATAATAATATGAGAGGTTTCACCTCTTAAAAGCATGATGTGATTACGAGAAATGCCGTAGCGGAGAGTTTTAGAAATTTTGACTGTCTGGTGTTCTTTAACGTAGAGGCACACGGGCCTCTATGTTAAATTAAATGTAGAGGCCCGTGTGCCTCTATGTTTAATTGCCACTTTACATGGCGAGGTAGTGCTGCCAACTGCTTCCCATGCTGTGAATATTTGCAGGAACAAACCAATTCATTCCAAGGTACAGCTGACGAACTGTAGGTCATAAGCATTAGCATGATGTGAACACCTAATAAAACATGCATTTTTGAAAATTCTGTCACATGCTTCCACATACCTTCAGTTTCGATGTGCACGGAAAGCTCATCACTTTCCTTGAGCCATCCGGGAATCGAATCATCAGCTCAGACTTTTCATCTGTAGAGGTGGGACGAGGTGGAAGAGGGGGGTGAATGAAAAACTGTGGCCACAAGCACAAGACTGCACACTACATAGAGAAAGATTAGAACGAGGTCCACATGCAACATTTGTTACTGCAATATTTCACCTGCATTTGGTCCTACTGCAAATCATGGCCACTACGAGTCAGTATGGAAGATTATGTTAAACTATGGGCGTTATTGCAGTCTTTTCCTGAAGCAGAAGACTCACCGGACTCGCTTCCCAAGAACCTCTTCCATTCATCAACATCGGATTTTGCGTTACTGGCCTCGCCCTTTGTCTTGCAGCCCCTGGTTGGTGGCGAAGAATCCACCTGCATGCTGCTGTGGTTACTTGTGTGTGCAGGCCCCACTTCTGTGTCCGAGTCAAAGGTCTCCAGGTCACTTTGGTCATCGTCCGATGCGGAGTCGTGTGTCCGGGCACTATTCTCCCGTAGAGATGCTTCGATGGCTGCCCGCATCTGTGCCTCTTCGTCTTCCTCTACGATGCTCTCCTGCAAGGACGGGAAAGGATTCGAGAAAGGATGATTGAATACTGTAGCTGTTATTCTAAGATGGGCAAATATTTATGACTCGCATTTCATGTGATTGTAGTGTACAGTTAAACCTCATACAGTAAAGTAGTGTACAGTTAAATTATCTTTATTGTCCTACCTTTTTGGCAGTGGGTTTTACTTTCTTTGTTGGTGGGTTGACAGCAGAGCCATCGGGTGTTGGGTGCTCTGCCAGGAATTCGGTGACTGCAAGGAGCAAGTGGCGCCACAATCTCACTTCAGGAACCAGTGTCAACCTACCATACATTGGCACATAGATCAGATGGGTGGTAAATCCGCTAGTACATGAGACATAAAGCAAACCTGACGCCCTCTCTGTCAATGCTATTTATAAAGCCGACTCTGACAAGACGTGCGCCATCCTACAAGGCCTTGTTGCCATGCTTCTTATCACTGGCTTGAATAGCTAAAAGTGACATCTCCCAATGCACCCGACTGACAATGCTGACCAACAATTGCCAATGAGGAAACCAGAACCGTATCAGTAACGGTCAGCCTGCTTGACACTGTTGGTTCAAAAGTCTATGATATACGTACACTGTTTAGTTCACCGTACAAACTAACAGCTATTTTGTACCACGTAGAGTGGCAGATTAGAAACGATTTCCCAAGTGAATGAGAACAGTAGGCAGTGTCAACAGAATCTTTTTGAAATATGGTACAACGAGAAAGCAAACTACGCTGACATATGTTGACGATAAATTTTCATTAAAAATGAAATGCATAAAAATAATGTAAGCCAACATATAAAGCCAAACAGAAATCACAAAACTCACTATACCTGCATCGCAAAACTTGACTGCGTCCACCTGGTTCCAGGACAGTACCTTTTCACCTAATCGAAAAAAGTGAAACAAGGCCAAGATGCAGCAGTGTTTCAGTTGAAAAGCTGGTACATACAGCGCAGTAGGGTGATGGAGAGCTTAACAGAGTTTGGGCATTATCTGCCAAATCACTTTTGCCACCGGCTGCATGCATTGTCACATGCCAGGTCATTGGTACTCTTAGCACTGCTTCAGGAGGCGACAGCAACAAACTGGATCTGATAATTTGCAGGTGAAAATGTGAAGACAGGACACAGAATCGTGAGGATACAGACAACCAAATTGAGTGGCCTGTCGCAACACTGGTAGGTTGGGAGGAGCTGCACTGTGGTGCAATGATGCTCATGGTTAAAGGGGCCCTATAACACAATTAAGCACCCCCTACCTTTTCCTTTTTAATCCAGGGTTGCATAGACTACAGTACACACAGGCAAGTGCAGCAAGAACGGCAGCAGTACCGGCATGCAGTCCAAAGTTTTGCTGTCTCAAAAATTCAAAATAGTACAGTCGACTCCCGGTAATTCGAAGTCACTTAATTGGAAGTTTCGGTTAATTAGAAATGAGCAAGTGGTCCCATCAGTTTTGCATGCAATCGTATAGAAAAAAAATGCTCGATAATTCGAAGTTAAAAACCCATAATATTGGATAATTAGAAGCTTTTCAATCGACAGTCTCGTCGCGACCGTAATTTTACAGTAAAATGGGGAATTTTTCATATGCCAAAACATCTGCCGGACCGCGCTGGTGTCTTCGCCATCACTACTGTCCGCAGCGCCACAGATCTTGAAGTGGCAATCTTTTTAACGCTGGCGAATCGCATCGGCGGCATCGACTGACTCTTTAGTTGACTTTTGTCGAGACTCGAGTGTGTCACCGCGTCACCAGCGCGCTGGGTTGATTCCACACGTGTTTCCGCGCTTCTGATTTTGAGTGTTGTGGTGGTGACGTACGTTTGATAATGGGAACTCGTGGCCCTTACCGAATGCTAGACCTAGCGACGAAAGTCGAAGTCTTGAAGGAAGTTGACCAGGGAGGCACCGCCAAACAAGACATTGCAAGAAAGTACGGCATTAAGCCTAACACGCTGTCGACTTTCATAAAGAATAAGCGCTCAATATTGGATGCGTTTGAAAGTGAAAAATTCAAGACATCGCGGAAGCGGATGACATCCGATATATTTAAGGACTGGATCACCAAACTCGACCGCAAGTTCGTGCAATCAAGCCGTAAGGTGTTGTTCCTTGTGGACCAATGTAGTGCCCACATGAACGCACCTGCCTTGAGTGCCATCCGTCTTGTGTACCTGCCTGCAAACACGACGTTCGTGTTGCAGCCCATGGACCAGGGCATAACAAAAAATGTGAAGGTATTGTATAGGCAGCATCTTGTCGAGCGCATGCTTTTGTGCATGGACAACTCGTCGCAATACGAGGGGAGTTTGCTTAGTGCCATCAACATGCTAGCGCGAGCTTGGACCCGCGTGAAAGAAGAAACCATCGCCAATTGTTTCCGGGCCTGTGGTTTCATGGAAAACTCGGGGGATGCTTCTCCTTGTGCGCCAGTGGAAGTGCAAACAAATGAGCTCGACGACGGTAGCTTTCGCGCCGCTCTCGGTGACGTCCGTTTTGACGAGTATGTCGCTGTGGACAGCAACGTCGAAACATGCGGTCCACTAACGGACAGCGAAATCGTGCAGATGGTTCGGCCCCATGACTGCATTCCTGAAAATGACGATGATGACGACGACATCGGAAATGAGCCACCACCGAGGGCTGCCGATGTAGCTGCGGGTCTTGCTCTTGCGCAGCGGTTTTTTGTTGGAGAACACAACGCCGAAGAAGCACTTCGACACGTGTATTCCTACAAAACTTGCTAGCCGCAGCCAGATTCGGCAAGCAGAAGAAGATGACAGACTATTTTTCCTCAAAACTGTCGCGCTTTTAAACTAATAAATGTGCCATTTTTAGTGCTTTTTGCTTAATTCGAAGTTCGTTTAATTCGAAGTTTTTTGCGGTTCCCGTGAACTTCGTATTAACGGGAGTCGACTGTACAAGAAAAAAAATGCTTGTCGTCAGCTTGACTTATGTGGATACACAACCACATTTCATTCTCCCTGTGCCGTTTGAGAGTGCCCCAATGAGTTGAGCTGAAAGCTCCAATGTAGGGGAAGATTGCACATCATTTTTGCTGGTCCTCTCATTTATTCTTGATGCTGTTGCCATGGTAACAAACCTGGTGCCTGACACCCGACTTGTCAGAACTTCAGTGGGCTTCGAAGTGAAGCTTTGTCTGCATGCAGTTCCTTATGACATCCCATGTCACTGCCTTATCTCATTCGGAGAAGAGAACTTGTGCGACAGCAAGGGCAATAAGGCGCAGTCGCCCCAACGTGACCTTTTTGGCGAGATTCCCGTCGCATTATAAGAGCGCGGCGATATCAATCCAACGAAATAGATTACTTGCACTGGTTCAACAACAATCAAGAGCCTACCATATGTGCAGTAACAGGCAGCTTGCAAACGTACAGAAGCAAGAGGAGGGAAGGAAAATGAGCCTTTCAAATGGATATCAGATCTGCACAAGCAAAAAATCCAGAGTCAAAATGGCGACTAGCATCTCTGTCATGCTTTGTAGTTGTAGTTACCCTTTCTTGTTTTTTTTGTGATGGCATCTATTAGTGGTTCAATTAAAAAGCACAGAAAAGAAAAACGAAACACACTAGTAATCTTACTCGTGATGTCATGCCGCAATCGCTTCTAACATTCCATTTGTCCAATCATAGGCTTGCATGCTTAGCAATGGCATAGCCAGGGGGTGGCACAGTGGGCCCTGCTTCCCGAAATTTTTATTACTTGTTTTTCCATGACATACAGGCCCAAAAATCACACTAACCACATCTGCCTGCTCGGCCCCCATATCACATGAAGAGGGTTCGCCCCACTTTCCACCTACACCCTTTGTGCTTGGTCGTCATTTCTGCCCCCAATAATTCTGGTGAGTGCCACTATGCGTTGATGCTGCAGTTGGCAGCAATGTAGCAACTTTATTGCACGATTAAAATTCCAATTCATTTGACATTTGAGCTTAGACTTAGGCTAAAATTATTGCCAGCCGTCAGTCTATGCAAACCACAAATAAAGAATTGGTCGATTGAAAGCATTGGAGGACGTTTTTTTAGTTTTACTATTTGCAGTATGTGCACCAAAAGCTCATTTTGCTATTACTGTTGCAAATAGACCCCATCGGTACACAGCACCGGCAACCATTTATTGACCTAGTGTTAAAAAGGATGCCAAATGAGCCTCAGTAGTGGGCACACAGTCAATCTGCAACCTTGCTAGACTAGCACAGCTTAAAAGAGGGACAATGGTTTCATTCCTGCAAATGGTATTCCGTATCTTGCTATCTTGCACACATGCGTCATCAGCAAGAGACAAAGGTGCAACGGGTCGCTCACCAGTCCTTGGGTCCAGGATAGCTACATAAGGATAATCAACAACTTTGTAGAAGAGGACGTAACGCTGTCCTTCTTCGCTGTCCTGATAGACCTGAAACGTATGAACGTAGGCATAGGTTACACTGTTATGTCCTGTGCTGTACAAATGTCCAGGACAAACATTTGTACCGCACAGTCAAAAACAGTTTCAATCATTTCAATACAGAGCAAGACTATCTCAGACATCCGAAAAGATACAAAAACCATGCACTTTCGAGTGGCAAACATGACCTAACACGGCTGCATGCTTGGACATCTGCTTGAGCATAGTGTTCACGTGTGCAAAACTCTTCCCCCCGGCCCACCTTTGCCCCCCCCCCCTTTCTCATCAAAATCAAACATACTAAAACACAGTGCCTAAGTTCTCAGCCTCCCTGCCCTCCTAAAGAAACTTGTCATGGGCAACTCATAAAAAAACTCCAGGTGCTGCCCCTGCTTCTTTCTGATGGACATAGCGTGTGGAAAAACATGTGTCGCTGAAAAAAAAAAAACCATTCCTGAGTACACGACAACTGTGTGTGCTTCAGCCATTGATTTTCCCAGTCTCTTTTAGCAAGATTTTCCCGAGTGGATGTGCAATTGATAGGTTAGTAGTTACTTTTTCATCCTTTAACAGCTTTTTATGATTATCGCTTTCTATATAACAATGAACAGAAAATATTTTGTTCTTTTGTTCTGAAATACTTCAGGACTATCTGCATACTCCCTACTGATCTACTGGTCATGTTTAAGTTGTTGGGGCGATTCTGCCACTGCAAGAAAGAAGCCTTTTGCAACATTACATGAGCAACATGTAGTTTATAGAAGTAGAGGTAAGTCAGAGTGCCTCAGGATGACTTATTGGTGAAAAGGAGAACTCATTTTGCGCATAGAGGCATGGTGAACAAAACATGACAAAGTAAAAAGCTAAGAATGACCTCGGCAATTCTCACAGTCACTGAACGGTGGCGGGACTGCCCTTTAAAAAAAAAATACTACAGTTGAATCCCATCGATCATGACATGAAGACAGGCAAAAAAAAAACAAAAAGAAAAAAATTATTAAAGCCACAGTACCTGCCAAAAGACAAAATGTTCCGAGATGATGCTTTTGATGGTGGAGTTGCTCCACACATCTCTGTTGAGCACCTGGCAGGCAAACTCCTGCACGTTCTGCACATTCACCATCAGCCAGCGATTCTTCGCCCTGCCAACTTCCCGAGCCTAGAAAGAGAAGTAATGCGACTGTAAAGGCTGCAGCAGAAAAAGTTTTGGACCTACCCCCATCCCATCTTTTCTCTTCTTTGCACAGAAGCTTGCTCTTTCCCTGATACAACCCCTTAAGTTGGGGATAAGTGAGTGAAATGTAAAGAGCACTAGTGAAGAAGGCCTGACGAAGAGAAGTCCTTTTTTCAGAGCATTGGCTTGAGGGACATTCCCCGCTCAACCACTTCTCATCATTTTAAGCCTCCATTTCCCCTTGAAATTACGTGTCGCTTGTCTTTTTCATGGAACGTAATGAAAGAGTATGTCATTCTTGAAATGACAGAAATAATTGCATAAGAATTGAATGCCCCAAAACAACACGACATAGGCTATGAGGGCCTTTGGTTTAATTCTGACTAGATGGAGTTTATTAAGGAGAGTGCAAAGCCATATATGAGTGCATATAACCCTCATCGAAATGCGGTACTACTATGGCTGGGGATCAAACCAGCAAATTCATGCTAGACAGCCGAATATCACACCAATGAAGCCATTGCAACAGGTTGGCCAAAAAGGACGGTATAAAAATAAAAGGCAGCAGGGTGCAGCACTGCTCGTTGCCTTTACCAAGGTGAAAAAAGTGGCCAAGTGAAGGTGAATAAATAATAATAATAATAAAAAAAGAAAAGAAAGCACATAAATTACATGCAACACACACATATACAATGCACATGCATGCGAGCTCACATACACACACACACATACTGCTGGATTTGGATGCTTACCGATTCAAATGAGCCCCTGTGCATGAGGTCTAGCGGTGGCCTAAAGAGATCTTCTAATGTTTTTCGTTTCTTGTATGACGGGCTGTCAGTCTCACCCTGCAGCAATTTTTCTTCCTGAAGCCCTAAGATGCGAAAAAAAAAAGAAAAAAACGTTACATTGCAAGTCTTTCTCTGAAACGGAGAGTTCACACTGTGTTTTGCCATAAACAATGAAGAAATAGCTCTGACTGATCTATTGGGTGAAAATGTTGTACAAAATACTCTAATATTTTCCATGATTGTTGTGCACTGCCACATAAAGCAAAATATCTGTGACATAGTTTTGTTTTCGGACTGTTTCTTTCTATGGATTTCCTGCTAGTCTAATTTCCCCAATATGCTTATATACGCACGCATTTGTATCTAGTTTAGTTGTTAATGTTAATTAGACCACAAATGATTTAACATTTCTTACTTCATACTGCAAAATGTTACAGGAATATTGTAGGCAGTAGGTATTTACCTCTGTACATGGCAGTCTTCATTGATCTCTACAGAGGTTGGCAACATGTAATAAGTATGGACTCTTAAGAAGGAATGCCCTGAAGTTTTGACAGCAGCTACTGTTTTTGGTGACTGTGCCACTTTCCATCTGTACATTATAACATGGCGACACGGAAGACAGATTGGTTCTACCATGTTCAGTGCGCATGGTCCACGTGGAGTGATAGCCCTGGTGGTTCCACAGTGTCTATAGCTCTTGCAACTTCCCCACTGTACTAGGGTCTGCGAAAACACCATGTGTACTGTTAGGGGGAGGGTTAATGTGCATTTTTCCCAGTCAAATTAAAGTGGAGGTACGGGGGCATTTCTTTTGAAGTCCACTTTTACTGTAGAAACTGAAGCTGTGTGCTTATATTTCCGGTCTTGAGGGCCACACAGGTTTTTCGTGGCGCAGACACGGCATACTTGCCACAACAAGTGCCATTCAGACCACAAAAGACTACAACTACCACCAGTATGCCAAGTGGCAGCATAGTGAAACCTGTTGAGAAATCAGCACATTCACAAAGAAATACATCTACTGTTGTCATGAAAATACGTGTTCTCATCAATGAGCGAGTAAGTTTGCAATTGAATGAATTGAAGGTTCAAATATCAGTTGCACTAGTAATTCATAGTGCGAAACAGAAACACAATTAGACACTCACTTGTCTCTGCCTGGAAGTCACGGAACCTATCAAAAACACTGTAGGAGGCTCGCCTTGGTGCATGGTACCCTGAACAGGCAAAACCAATATTTATCGCAGTGTTACACACTTACAGTGCTTGTGCACACTGCGTTTTCCAAATTAACTACAGAATACTTACCATAGGGAAATGGGCCATCAACCAAAACTTCCCTTACAGGAGGAATAGGTGGTCTGACGTCATCCCTAGAGAAAAAAAAATTGCAAAACGCCTGTCAAAAGGTTGTATCACAACATTATCATGCAGATGCAAAATGATACTTTTGTTGCTAGGTGTTGCAAGTCAGACTTTTCTAAAAAGTAAATGTATAAACAATTCTGCACTGGAGAGCTTAATTTGGCTGAGGTTAACAATGCCGCCTTTGACAGGGTAAAAATTCATCAACACATACGTTCCTCACGACCATAAACACACCGCAAATGACAGTCATGCACAGGTTTGTGTTGCGATCATACGCAGCACGTGATACTCGCTACACATTTCGCGGAGCAAAGACGGGGCGGCGGTTGACAACTTCACTGAGCTGAATGCAGTGTTACCCTAGCGTCCATATGACTTCCGCTTGTCATAAGCAGCTTCTTTATCGGCGACGCACAGTTATCGATTTCTTCGCGCCGCCCCTGCCGCGGTGGTCTAGTGGATAAGGCACTCGGCTGCTCACCCGCAGGTCGCGGGATCGAATCCCGGCTGCATTTCCGATGAAGGCGGAAGTGTTGTAGGCCCGTGTGCTCAGATTTAGGTGCACGTTAAAGAACCCCAGGTGGTCGAAATATCCGGAGCCCTCCATTACGCTCTCATAATCATCGTGGTTTCGGGACGTTAAACCTCACATATCAATCAATAAATCAATCATTCAATCAATCAATTCCTTGCGCTGCAGCACACAGATTCAGCGTTATGGACAAAGTGTAAACGACTGTACGAGGGCACTTATACTGGCCAGCGATGTTACCCCCTCACATGCATCAATTTTAGGCGCACATAAATTCTTAATCAGGTAAAACCAGTACGCTCCGACTCACTCAGCTGCGGTTACGGTGGGCGGCGGCATGTCGGAGCTCGATGCCAGGGCTGCTTCGCCCGTGTGAGAATTGGATGGCTGCGTCCAGTCCGTGTCCACGTGCATGTTGATGGCCATCTCGAGATTGCCGTTGCAGGCTTCCAGCATCTGCTTGGCCACATTTTCGTCCGCTCCTGCGGAAACAAAACGAAGCGGTGTATCGTCGATGTAATCGCCAAGGCCGATTACGAAACACACCGGCCAGCTTGGCGGACGCACCAAAGCTCGCCGATCACATTCGACAAAGCAGTTATACTCGCTGCATATCGACGATAGCATAAGTTATAAATTCGAACGCGACAGGACGCGTACTTCTGTGCGAGAAACGAAGACGCGCACAAGCCTCACGAACTCCCCAGGGACAAGAAAAAAACGTTGGATTAAGGTAGACCTGAGGCAAGCGCAGGAGAGAAAACTTGTAAAAGAAACTATCGGGCGCAGCGAAAACATTACTGTACGCACTAGCCACCCGGATTACTTTACGAAACAGTTGGCATCGACTCATCAAATGTTGCGAGGCAAATGTCAAGGGACAAAGCAACCGAAACAAAACAACCAGCTTTAACGGCATATGTGTCCCAGCACGAACACGTTGATTACCGCATCGATAGAGTAGTGAAAAATATGTCACGCATTACTATCAACAAGTACAAAGAAGAACTATCGTACCAGTGACAGCGCAGAAATTTTCTATCGAATTGATGTTTGAACTGGCAGACGAAGACGCCATTTTTAGGGGCTTGCGGATCCGCTCGATCGCGGCCTGGCTACTGAAGGATTGCGTATGTAAAAAAAAAGAAAGAAAATTAAGTTATTGCACAATTATTACTTTCAAAATTACTCAAAAAGTACTCCTTTTACTAATAAACACATTGTAAGAACTCTGTTTAGGAACCGATGACACCCGAACTACCAAAACGTTTATACGCTTGTTTTGCTTTCATCTTATATATGCGGTAGCGTGCACAATGAACTTCAGATGATTCAGCGCGAGATAAAACTGATAAACATCCCGTGCAGCATTCTTACAACATGTTTATGCATCTACATCTCTAAAGATATCTATATACTTAAGCCGTCCAAGAATACCAGCGCGCTTTTCAAAACATATCTCCGTGTGCACGAAGATAAAGATTCTGACTCCCAGCTTTACAGTTATCACGATAGATTTAAACGGGCTATCGCAAGCGAGACATCTTTTTCTTGAGATCCGCTGCAGTACTGTGTCGATCGCGAAGCAAGAAACACAGTTTGCAGGCAGAATATGGGTCGTCCAGTCAACATATGTAACTCCACAGTGCCGACGCGAAACAAGTGTGTTGCCCTCCTGCTGCTGTTGTGCAGCTTTGTTTGTCCCTTGTATGCGACAACCAATAACGGAAATGGTAAGTGCTACAATGGTCTCTTTGCTACGTACTGTACAATAGCGAATGAGGGCGGGGGGCAGGGCGAACGAGCGTACATTTGGACTGAAAAGTTAATCTTGTGCTGTTTGTATCAATTATCAATACAGACCCCGAATTAATTTGAAAAAAAAAACAAACAAACAAAGCGATTTAGTTGCGATTATTCTTTATTTCTTACGATACTGATAGCCTAACTATTTCGAAACAAGACGATATCAGTCGACATACTGGGCGGCGACTTGGTGTTCGCTTTTGCATGTGGTTCGTACAGAGCATATATATATATATATATATATATATATATATATATATATATATATATATATATATATATATATATATATATTTATAGATGAAATAGATGATCAGAGTTTATATAAGTATATATATATATATATATATATATATATATATATATATATATATATATATATATATATATATATATATATATATATATATATAAGCACGAGCTACATGCAGTTGACTAAATTAGCTTCACAATCCAGATGTGTGGCCTGATGAATGCGATGACGAAAACAGAAAAAAAAAAGAAGACGTCTAGGGTTGTTTGTTTTTAAGTTAGGGTTGAGTGTACTAGAACAGGGGAGTCGCGAACGTTTTCGGTAGACCTTGAAGAAATCGGAGATTATCCACTGCAAATAAAAAAAAAATATGACTAACGAGCTAGGCATGTTTCAACTTTATAATCATTAGGTTGAATTTGCAGGATTATTTCACTTCATTTCCCGCGTAACAAAAAAAAAAAAACGGCGTCATTTAAAAGATTCTGAAGACGTGGACGCAGTTGGGGAATGAGCGAGCAAGAAACTAAAGATGATATTACATTTAATCATCCCAGCCATGACTCGCAGCCGCTTCCTTGCAATAATATGAAAAAAAAAGAATAATCCACAAATGATAATTTTGCTGGTCAACAGTCACAACAATCATGCGTGCTGGTGGTAGTGGTTAGAAGAGGAGAAATTTAGGCACCTAATTTCTGCAGCCCGGTCGGGAGCACGGCGCAGTGCCTGGGCGTGCCCGGGTGACACTCACTGGAGTGTTGATGGGGAGAGGGGGAACGATGGTTTGTCGAATTGCCTTTTCACGCTCTACCAGATCAGTGTATGAGGCTGATTTTGCGACCCCACCCGGATGATGGATGGATGGATGTGGCTGTACCCTTTAGATCGGGCGGCGGCTAACGCCACCTAGCAGACTCCCATTGGCCCGCTTCTTGCTTGCGCGCGCCAATGGGAGTCGTATCGCTTCCGGCCTCCAGGATGCACCGAATGATATCATCCGTGTCTGGATCTGCGATCATGCGGCAGTGCGTACATCGCCTCGTCCTGTCAGCGATGTGCTACATATTGATAAGTATTGGTAAGGACTCGTATTCTCGCTGCGGTGACGTTTTGACTGACTCGCCACTTACCGCGCATGCGCGCCAAGACGATGCGAGAGCGGGCGTGCCGGTGCGATTCGATCGTGACAGTGCAAATGAACTCCCAGCGGCGATAATAATATCTGGGCCTTTTCCTATCGAAACCATGATATGATTATGAGACTTGCCGCAGTGGAGGGCTCCTGAAGTTTCGACCATCTGGTGTCCTTTAGAGGGTCCTTCACCGCCCCGCGTTCAAGGTCGAGAGAGTGGTTTCCTCCTTGCCTTCACCACCATTTCTACAGGCGATATCTTCTTCTCACCACTTGTTTATTAAAGAAAATAAACAGCAACAACACGTTTTCAATGTGAGTCGAAATTTTTGATGTAGCGCTGAGGCACGCGTACACGAGAAGGCTCACCCCCGTATTCACAAACGCTCCTCGACTCGACTTTTGCCCTTCACTTGACAAAGTGGAGCACTGCGCCACTGTTCGGCTGAAAATGAAGCTGCGCTACTCGAGAGTCGCAGCAGATTGTCGCTGATATGCAGTGACTTGCCGTGCCTAGAGACGGCTCTCCCATCAGCTTTCTCAAGTGAAGGTGAAGCATTCAGTGAAGGGACGTTCTAGAATACGGGGTAAGAATTGGTACGTACCAACAGACGCATAAAACATATATTACGAGTGATGTAGTTGTGTAATCTCTGGACAAACACTTTTTCTACTGTGATAAAAGAACGAACGGAACGCTTATTTCTATGAGCGCCCATGGCGAGGGTTTCCGATTATGGTTATCTTGCACCAAATTAGCTTCCAATTGTATAATACCACGCGTGGCAAAGAAGATTCCATGCAGAAAAACGTTACTCTTGAACTAGTAGGTTTAAGACTTCTGAATGATGATGAACAAACTTTGTTTAATTAGCAGAAAGATCCTCCTCCCCTTTCAGGTGCGAAAGAAGGGAGGACCAAACTTAGACGACGGCCCTGATCTCATGGGCCCTGGCGGCGTCTTCGGCCTGCCGTATTAAGCGGGCTTGTAATTGAGAGTCAGAGCTGCGGAGCGCGGTATTCCATCCACTCCCGTCTGGGAATTCGCCTCTCATGGGGGCCTGCGGGCATGCATGCCCATAAAATGTGGCTCAAGTCCGCCCTGTTGTGGCAAAATTTACACTTGTACGAATGAAGTTCCGGCACGCAGCGGTTCATTGTTACCGGACTAGGAAACTTGTGGGTCTGGAGTAGGCGCCACGCCACCGCCTGTCCTTTGTTCATGACGAGTCTGCGGGAGGATAAATTTTCCTGCTTAGCCTGTGTGTCACACACTTCGGGTGAGGCCCCGCCGATCCAACAACGACGTGCGGCCGACTCGCAGGCTTCCACTTTACGCTTCGGCCTGCGACGCCTGAAAGGCCTCGAAGTGGCACATTTCAAGTTTATTTGCAGGTCGGTCGACCCGTGCGGGGTTGCACGTGTGGTGATGTGTGGGCCTGACCGACACACTCATAAGCAGACACGGAGATTTTATGCACAAGAGCAAGCATTTAATTAAAACAAGGGCAAAGGCAGGAGTTAACAAAAATAACAAAGGAGGAAACTGATACGCGCAATGAAAAGAACAGCTATATAGCAAAATATGCTAAAAAACACTGCAAAAGATACAGACTAAAGACAAAATATGCGGAACATTAATAAAACAACAACAAGATGGAACTACAGGAGAGACAAGGAAACTTTACGAGAGAAAGATAAAAAAAAAAAAAAAACTCACGCTCGCGCTTCTGAGCTTCGACGTGCGACGCAGCGCACACTACAAATATTTAAAAAATGGGCTGGTTATAATAAATTAACGGTTTAAAAAAAGTCACAATAAAAAGTTTCATACGGACCAGGCCAGCTCTTGGTGCACGTAGGGGAGTTGACGGGTGCCGCTGGAGATCTCGCCGGCTTGGCAGACGACGAGGGTGCCCGTAATTGCAGCCGTCTCGATACGTTGCACGGGTCACTCCATGCTCGTCGCCTACGCGAGACTCGCGACACCGATGACCGCACTTGTTGCTGGCTGTACGTCGACTGCCTATTCCGATGCAGACGAAACTTTTTCAGGGCCGTACACGTGCTGCCGTCCTATCTGGGGGTAATTTTCCTTTTTTAGACCGCCAGTGCCCCTTTCGGTACAGGTGCAGGGAAGACGAACCGGCGCCACGCTGGGTCGTTTTAGTCGCCGGATGTCGTACCCCCAACACAAAAGCGCCCTTCCTTGGAAGATGGGGCCCGCGGATGATCCGAAAATTGCAGTCGTTTGTGACACTGATACTGTAAGTGGAAGATACTCTCAGAGTCAACTTGCGACAAAATGCCAAGACTTGTGAATGAAAAAAAAATACCGCGAAACAACACACTGACCAAGAGCACCAGTCCCAAGCTCTTTGTGTTGCTTCTCGCGAAATATCTTTCTCCTTCACAAAATTCCAGGTTGGATCTATGGCTACTATATACCTTTGAAATTCTGTTATGATCTTCTTCCTAGTGCACGAGGTAAGTTCTATATACTGAAACAGATAAAATAAACCGTTTGTAAGCTTTTCTGTCGTGTCCGCCGATGGGCGAGGTGTTTTGCTCCCACAAGCGGGCTGGTCGAGGCACCCCCAAAAAAGCTGCGCGGCGCGCCTGCAAACACGGAGTTGGGAAGTTGAGTGCACGTTGACAAACGCGTGACTAGAATACGCGCTGCGCACCCAGAATGGGAAACTTGACAATACATGGCGGCTAGTGCGAGCAGCGTGCACAGTGTAAACGTGACAAAAAGCGGGGAACGCCATGCAGTGAGTTTATTTTTGCCATTTCTAAGCATACTCTAACAGAAAATTGTTGTTGGGCTTGTTGCTGGATCGTCATTAAAAACTCAATTCGAGCGCATACACGTGACACGCTCATGCACACACACGCGTGTGTTTGATGTCCGGGTGTATGTGTGTCGTGTGCTTGCGCTCAAATTAATATTCGGATTGTAAAACAGTGCTATGTCTAAAATAAGGTACCTCCGTTTCATGGCCACACCCTGCGGTGGTTTGCGCCAAGCGGATCCAGCCAATTAAAATGAAGCTGGGCTATTCATATTCAAGCCCATTTCACTATGTGAAGCAGGACTGGTGGCCCCACCACCGCGGTGGTCTAGTGGCTAAGGGAACTCGGCTGCTGACCCGCAGGTCGCGGGATCGAATCTCGGCTGCGGAGACTGCATTTCCGATGGAGGCGGAAATGTTGTGGGCCCGTGTGCTCAAATTTGGGGGCACGTTAAAGAACCCCAGGTGGTCGAAATTTCCGGAGCCCTCCGCTACGGCGCCTCTCATAATCATATGGTGGTTTTGGGACGTTAAACCCCACATATAAATTAATCAAGCAGGACTGGAGTTTTGTAACCTCTACCTCAAAAATTCGGTCTGTGGCTTTGAGGAAAAAATTTCTTCAACGTTATGTGGCTCACATGTTGGTTGAAGTGTTCTCGAATCGCACTGTACCTGACAAAAAAACATATGTTTTCTACATAAACACGCAGATACACTAAATCCATTTTAATTTATTTATTCACTTGTAACTTATCTGTGATTCGAAGAACAAGGAACGAGGAAAAAAAAAACTCTGCTCTCATTTCTATAATCTTGCTTATTCTAAATGGTATTTTTTATCGTTCAGTAATAAAAACGACTCCTAGCTAATACTGCTTTTATTTTATTTATCTGCAAATTTGGCGATAAAGTTAAATAGTGTGGATGCTCCGGTTACTTTCGGCTTGAATTCTGGATATTTTTCAAATGCACCTAACGACAACCCTTCATGCCCACGACGTTCTTTTCATCATTTCTTATTCGGTAACGGATATAGTACTTCATGAGCGCCTGGCCTGTTGAGTTTTTCTCTTCCTCGTATATACTTTGCTAACACGTATGAAATCATCGCTGTTTTAGAATTCCTTCTAGTAGGTTTTTAAGCACCGTTTCGTGACGACACCTGATTACGCGTTACTTTACGTTTTCTCGAAATCAATATGGGAGCCGACGGATGGAAACACGTATTGTGGGATAATCAGAGTGAACAGTGGAAGTGCCTCAGACTGACCGACGTTTTCGATTGGTCGCTGTATTTCGTGCCGACCGGTTGTGCCCCCGCGATCTCCGACGACAACGAAGCTAGCTGGCCGACTGGCTCGCCCTACGCCTTCTGACGCCGACAAGAGGTCTCGCCGAGTGGTGCCCTGTCCTCGGACTCCTGCGACCGTGTCCATCTTTCCTATCTTCTCCTTGCTTCCGTATGTGGCTGTCCCTACGCCTCGATCTCTCCTTCCGCTCCCTCTATCTCTATATCTTTCAATCCTATCCCTTTAATCCTTCCTTACCCCCCATTCCTCGTGAGCTACTGTGGAGGTGTCCTCCCCCTGAGAGACATTTACGGGGCTCACTTTTCTTTTCATTTATGGAACACCCCCCCCCCCCCCCCCCCTATTTTGGACAAGGCGGATTTGACGAAGATAGGTCCTTTAGAAACGTCGGTCAGCCTGTCTGAGTCGCTTCTATACTGCTCACCCTGATTATCCCATTACGTTTCCTCGCTTACCCTAACCTGCATGCATATAGTTAATATCTGATCAATCGACTATAACCATTTAGGCTATCCCTAAAAACAGCGTTTTGTACGTTTTTTGTCTGTTGAATACATTGTGTGTTTGTGCGTGCATGTGTGCGCGTGAGCTTATAAAATACACATAAACAAAAGAGAGTACAGCCAATTTGCAGCAGCGCACGGAATGACAGTGGTGTGTAGAAAAACGAAGTCGCGCTTGGCGTTCATCTCTTCCAACAGGACCGGAGGAAGAGCAGCGAAAAGGGCAAGTCGTTCACGATGCGGATCTTGCCTCCAACGAGTTATCTTTAATCCGAGGCTTGGCGCCAGCCGTGGTCTCACCTTCGTCGCGCTCCGTGGCTGGTCGGCTGCTGCTCGAGTCGCTGGTGTTCACGGCGGTTCTGGCCACCAGCCTGACGCTCTTCCCGGGCTGGTATTCGGTGCTGGTGGCGCTGTCGGCGTTGTTATCTCTCTACGAGTCGGCCACTACGGTGGCACAGTCCGCGCCCGCGGTCTTCACGGCCAGGGGAGACGCCACTTCGCTGACCATCGATTGTCAGGTCTGCTGCTTTCGCTAATTGCGTGCTTCCTTATATTATGCGACGTTTACAGCGTTTTCATCGACATGTCTACGAGTCCTGGTAACCGCTTTCTTCTAGTGTGGTGTAGCGAAAACTTGGCAGCAAGGCCCTGGTACGTCAGTATACAGTTCCATTTTCTTATCTCATGGAGCTAGATGATGACAATCGTTGCGTTTTTTTTTACAGCACGTCCTCTTTTTCTCGTTGTTGATTTTCTTCAAAATGACTGAGAAAACGTTACAATGCACACAGAATGGGACAAAGAAAGACGACGCAAGACTTCTCTTGTACCTGTCTCTGTGCACTGCAACGTTTCTAAGGTACGACACCAACTAGCTCACCACAGTGGTGGCGTAGCCAGATGGTGGCACACAAGGCCCACGCGTGCACACCCTCCCTCACGAAATTTCTTTCGCCATGGTATACATAGCACAAAATGACACTCGACCTCATCCGCCCGCCCGGCCCCCACTTCAGATCAAGAAGGTGCACTTCAGATCAAGAAAATTTCCGCCTTCGCCCTATAGACTCGTCAAGCCGTCCTCATGAACCCAAAATGACGACTGCCCTTGTGATTGGCCAGTATACGTGCACAAGCCGATGACGTATTCTTCTGTGTGCAGGTGCAACTGCTGTGCGAGGTGACCCGGATGGCGCGCGCCAGGTTCCCTGTGGTGGCGACGCTTCTCAAGTCGGCGGCTCGGGGCGACCACCGGGGAGGTCCCATCGTGCAGGCCATACTGGCAGGGCTCGGTAGCGCCGACTGCGGCACGTTCTTCGACTGTCCGCGGCACCGCATCCAACCTCTGCTCGCAAAGCAGCCTCAGCGATAACGTTCGACCATACCGCACACATGAACCGTTTGCTTCCAGAGGAACCCGTCGCTGCTCGACGCAAGAGAGCCGCTCTGCCTGCCTCTTCTCCGTAATAATTCGACTGGACATTTTGTACGCGAGATCGTGCTGTTCTCGGAGCAAATGCGCCGTACGCTACGTCATTTTGAAATGAGAGATAAGACGTCGTTTCGTGAAAAATAGAGGTGAATAGAATCTGTTTTTGTCAGTATGTGTCCCGCTCCAGGACAATGTTACTTCCTTTCGGAGCCACGCCGACCAACGAAACCTCGACGAGTATAAAGAGAGTTAAAAGTGTATACTTGTGGCAAGTGAGGACTCAACAAGGAAGATTAACGGCTACTATTTTTTTTTGTTAGATTATATTCTGAACATAGGAAAATGAGAAGGAGATTGAAAGAGACAGATGAGTCAATAACGGTGATAGTGTATAATGATGTAGATTATAGTAGATACACGATTTCCGTACACGTCTTAGGCGCTTAAACTACTACATAATACGCAAATTTTAGTTTAAGTGTTTTCACTTATGCCCAAGAATTAGGGACATTATGTACCTTGATGTCCTGGCTAAAGCATTAAAAGTACTTTATATGCTCCCTACGGGAGAATATATACACTCTAAAAAGGAGAGCGAGTAAAAAAAGAAGGTGTCTTTCTGTCCCACAACAATAATCCTCATCTATATTGCGTTCCATCCTTGCGCTATCACCCCGCGCCCGGTTCATTCCGGTCACGATCGACATGCCCATTATCAGGGTTACATTGCATTCTCGATAGGAAAGTGGCCAGCGCCGAGTTTTCAAGAAAGGAAGCGCACGCAAGCCTGATGACGATTATTGTTGTGGGACAAAAAGACACCCTTTTTACTCGATATATTTTTTAGAGTGTACAGTAACTCAAAGAGACACCGGTGAATAGCGCCTCTAGCGGACATTTCACAGACATGCGTGTTTTTGATGGGAGTGGTCACCAGAGGCACCACCGTAAGCAGATGATATTGATCTGCCGCGCTTGGCAAGACAGTTGCGTGTTGGCTGTTGCGTTTGCCATAAAGTACACTTTTTGGGATATCTTTCTTCACCGTATTCTTGCTAACAAAGTATATCAGTGATTAGCATTTTCAAAAGCGGAATGCATGCTGAGCCTTGTAAAATTGCCCAAGTCATCCATTGCTGGCAATCAGCCAAATACCCCAACTCCGCTAATGGCGGCCAGAAGCAGCCGGCGTCTTCGTTATATATAGGAAAATATTGCATGAAGTCCACACGACAATTTAAAAATAAGCGTAGCATAATGTTATGTTGCAATTTATTAGGGCATGCAGCATATATGTTATACAATTAATTGCAACTCGACTCTTGTATTGGGCTTGCAACAATGTGGAACCTATAGGCTGCCTCGACTATACAGTGTGTTATGTTTTGTATTGTTTCATGGTAAATCTACCCTAGCTTAATTAACTTCATGCTAGTGAACATATATATACAATACTATTAGGCAAATAGAGGACCAATAGGCCAATACAGTTCCAGAAGGCCGATAAAGAGCACATAAACCAATATAGTCCTAATAGGCTGACACTGAGCCAATACCCCAATACAGTTTCCATAGATATGATGAATAGACCTATAGGTGTCCATAACCCAATAGGCTATTGGATTGTCTATTGGGAATTTTCGATAGAGTAGTGGGGGGCGCGAGGACCAATGGGCTCTTCCCAACCAAGCCCGGTGGTCCGCAACCGGGCCTTTGACTGGGTGACTCATCGCGTGGACGTCATCGTCAATAAATATTTTATACGTGCCACTGCTACACTCCGTCGCATTACTTTGCCAGTCTAACCACGATATTGGAGTTTTATCCCGAAAGCTGAAATGGACCCAAGCCGCAGAATCATTGTGGCAGTCGGAATGTAGGTCCATGCTTAATGAACAGCAAGGCCTAGTCACTGTATAAGGGTCCGCAAGCAGTATGCGGTAATTCCACGTGGAAGTCGGAGGCGTGTTTTCCATATCGGATTACGGTGCTCGGCAAGGAGATTTGGTGCTCGGCTGCTAATCCGATGGCCGCGAGTTCGATTCTGTACGTCTACTTCGGTGAAGGCGAAAAGCCAGATGATCGTGTATTGTGCGATGTCAGTGCATTTAAAGAACACGAGGAGGTCTAAATTCCGGCGTTCCTCGTCATCATGTTATGGTTATTGCGCGCAGAACCCTATTATATATAGATATCATTATTATTACAATGACGAGTTCGAATAACGTGTCCGCACGCGTTATTCGATGGTCTCATGTTCAGTCCCTTTTCGTCCACTTTTCTCTCTTCTTATTTACATTACAATTACTTCTAGTAACATACCCTATACTCGATTCTCCTATAATTGGCATGATTGTCTACAAGCTCTAATTTATATTGAGTCTAACAAAGAAAACGAGCCCTTAAATGTACATTTCTTTCCTTCCTACTATAACACTGTTTGTCGAGTTCGCAGCCCCACAAACCATTAACTATAGCGTGCACAGCAGCGACATTCCTTTGTGTCAGCGCTAGAACGAAGCTGCAAAATATTTTGTAAGCATGCAATTGACCAAACCTTTTTTTTAAAAATTAATTCTGTATTATATTTTGAAGGTATACACACAAAAACTGACGCTCGCCACATTATAAGGATTTGGTCAATTGCACTTCCATTTACGCTCACAAGATTGATCTTGGCGCGGCTCACTTTCTGCGCAATTCATAAGCGAATCATGGCACGTAAAATAGCTCGCAATTTAATAATAAATTATGTGAACGTGTGGCAACGTCTGTGATCAGTACGCCATCGGGAATCTAACTGCAGAATTGCAGTGATACCTTCGACATTATGTTCGTTTTCTCGAAAACCAGAAGCAGGCTTTCTGCGTGCAATTACTGAAAATAAATGCTACGTCCAGATTTCATTTTTTTATATTCACGCGTTTACGTAACGCTTTCGCGGATTTCCACCTTTAAAACATCGATGAAACGAAGGCGACGGAGCTAACTACGCAGTTGCTGTCGAAGAACACGAGGGAAGCTTGTAAAGCATTCCATCATTCGGCCGCGGCACGCTGACATACTTTTTTTTCCCTGAGATTTCATCGCCAGTCGCGCTGATCACTGTGATAACAACGACGTCGTGGCGGTGTGCGAGAGTGACATGAAAAAATTCCGCCATATCCATGAAGTGAATGATGATGAGTGGGCGAAGCTCCGGAGGTAAACCTGGTAAACCATGAATCCTCTGTACATTTTGCCTACTCGATTTTATTACATCGCTCCCCCTAGCGTACGTCGCCGCACTAAATCGAACGATTGCCTTCAACCAATGACACGCGCCATATGCGACATCATTCCTATTTTATGAGATCTCGCGTCTTTCATCAACTACAAGTACCGCTTTCTAGTTTATAACATCTTGCATCTTTTCATCATCAGCTACAAGTACCACCATCTAATAAACACTACAAGAACTAAACGAGAGGTGGCTACATACAGGAGACGGTACCGCCATCTAGTGAACACTGCAAGAACTAAACTAGAGGTGGCTACATACAGGGTACAGGGGACGCACAGCCCACGCCCTAAGGAGCTTCGCCCCTAAAACGAGATTGACCAATGCACGACTAAAGAAAATATTTCAGGCATATCGACGCATGCACTAAGCATCATGGTATCATGGTACTCGTGGTCGGGGAACGTCTTTCCGAGGTCTAGGACTGCCGTTTTCCTTCTCTCGACGTTGGTGGTTGCTGTGCTTGCCGAGCTCTGCGCCGCATTGCTGTCGCACTCACGCACTGGTGATGGCTGCACTACTTGACGACGTGGTATACCCGTGTTACCTTGCGCCTTGTCTGTAGAACAAGGCCTGCACCTTCTGACATTGAAAATGTGAGAAACGTTCCGGAAAACTTCGTGCTTGGCATCCCTTCGGACAGTGCCGCACACAATGTGTTCCGATGGCTATCACAGACTACTCGCCGCTCGACATGTGCGAGAGTGGCTACCAACTTGCCGCGGACATTCATTTCTGCCTTCAAGTTGTTCCCGCACGGCTATTGTCACCCTTCACGCAAGCTTCTGAAATACGTGCTACTCTCAGCGAATACGCCGAGCCTGGACTCGTTCGCGAGGTTATCATATGCCTATAAGGCTACTTTGCTCCGTGGCTACTGGCGCTCCGTTGAAGCCGGAACTTACAAGACGCAAGTCACGTTTGCCATGGACTCATTTTTCGTTGTGCGCGCTTACCAAACGTCAGCGTCGCCTGGACAAAAACATTTATTCATAGTGGACATCTCTCCTAGGACCAGCGGGACCAACCTTCTTCAACGGTCAACAAGTAAGATAAGGAAGTCCTCGAGCTAACCAGGTGCGCAGCTTAGAGAGTCTGTCAGTTGACCATATATAGTTGGTACACGCCAGGCATCTTGATTACGCGCGCACAATGTTACGTGAGGTTAGCTGCATCGTAAAATTTAGCGCGAATATTTTTAGGCCGGGCTGTGGTCCCGTATAGGGTGTCCGGCGCGACGAAATCGGAAGGGACGTGGGCCACAACGCTGCAGTGTGACTACGCATGTATACCTTCAGGTTCAGCTCATGGTTAAGCAGGAGGGGATAGCTTGACACTATAGGCAGGGCTTGGACGCCGTTCTCTTTCTATTTCGTCATGGACATTTCCGAATAGCGTTGCGAGCTCGACCGCTATTCCGTGATTAGCTATATTCGTGCGTGGTACCAGTTCTGTGGTCTTCTGCGAAATGTGGTTGAGGAAACAAACTGCATACGGAATAGCCTTATTAGATCGATAGCTCCAATGCTGAGAAAATTCTTCGGATTGAAGATCAGCGCTTCCTTCGGCCGCCAATGTGAGGGGTGGTCAGATTTGTTGCACTTGTAAGCGTGCAGTCTGTTTGCCCATTGTGGTGGTACGCACCTCTCTTACATGGTCG